GAGTGATTGGACGACAATAAGAAATTAACATGCCCGTATTGTAAACTGGAGGCATTCATCCAGAAGCGGATTGTCCGTGGCTGATGGCGATGATGATGATGATAGCGAGAACTCTATCCACCGTCATCGTCAGCCATGCAAACCCACCGCTGGATGAGGGCCTCTGCAAGCCGACAGCCATCTCTCACCGCTCCTTACAAAGCAACAATTCACTCCAAACCGTCAACACGGGGGCTGATGAAGTTGTCAGACCGTGTGAGAGGTGGCCATGGCTTGAGGAGGCCTTCATCCAGCAGTGGACGGATGATGATGATGATGATAATGTGGAGACGGAACACGTGTCCTTTTATATTTATCTCTCATCTCCCCCCAGGGAGCGTTCCGTTCTTCGGCGGCCGCTCCCGCTTTGAGAGTCTTTGGCTGCTGCTATGCATGTCCACGTGATGAAGAGCCGCCACTTCGTTGAACTATCATTTGTGGCCAGGTCGCATAAAAAGCTGCATAGCAGCTCAGTGGGCACCTTCCTTGGTCAAATAAAACACAAGTTTTTCGTTTTAATAGTTTTGCCGAGTCAACCTCGGGAAGAACCAGAGAAACTTTGTCGTGAACCCATCAGCGTGGACCCTCAAGTATCTCCTGTCCTACACGTGGGCTCTCTGCATCCTCTCTGGCCTCTTCCCGCCCACACGCCAAAACTCTCTCCATCGGTATCATTCGCCAAACATGCTGAAGCAGCACCGCCTCCTTCTAGTTGAGTTTAATTTTTGTTGAGGCTTTGATGCAAACGCAAATGGAACGTTGAGCGCTCTGATGTCAGGACTGTGCGGCGTTTTGTCGGCGTGATGAAGAGATAGAGGCGCAGCCCCTGCAGTTCCTCGTCCGTTCAAGCCACTGCTGGAAGGATGGGCCTCCGCTCGAGAGAGATCTCTGGAGAGCTCCAGCGGAGGGTGCTTGGCCTGCTCTTCCCTTTGTCGGGCCAAAGACATCCTTGGAGATGGTGTCAGTTGTCAACTGCGGGGGCGATCGGTGACACCGACGCGGGGTAGACGGGCGAGGCGGGTTGTGGAGGAGGGTCAGAAACCTGCGCCGTTTTGTTTTATCTGCCTGGCCGGGAGATTGAACCGAACTGGTGACTTCTGTGCGCGCTGCCTGTCACGCCGGCGTGGCGGCGTCCCGAATGCTTTCACGACACCGCTCGATGTGGGTTTAGAAGCCGTGCAGCTTACACCGTTTTCGAATGTCGAGTTTTTATCCAGATTTGTCATCTCGACGTATATCTCGCCGTGCGGCATCGTGACACCGATTGGCATTCTGCTGCCACCGCTGTCCCGAATGCAGGGCCGAGGAGCACTTGCGTTTTAATGAGCGGTTGAACAGTCGGCAGACTTGAGAGATCGCATTGCCAGAGTGTGCTGGAAGCTGCCAGACATCTGCAGCTAAGTGCTCTCAGCCAATGGCAGCAATGAACCAATGTTCAGACAGGCAGTCAGCAATTTCTATTTGTGTCTTATTGATCTGGAAGGGGTGATGATTATAATAATGATTATTATTTAATACGCTTGCTTACCCAAAATACAGGAGGATCCTGCCAAGTTTTTGCAGTGGAGGCGATGTTACCGCTGTGTGGGATTCGCAGGTGAATTTGTCGGCATTGGGAGATTTTGTCCAACACCAGTTACGTTATTTGTTTTTAAACTATGGGAGAAAACTGGACGACCCTTGAGGAAACCAATACAGAATAGGGGGAGAGAACATACAAACTCCACTCACTCATGACTTAAAGATTTCGTGACTGCAGGAATTCATATTCTTGGGTGTTTCGGGAAAGTCACATATATAGGTTAAAAGAAAATAACAAAGAATAACAAAAAACTACGACGTTTCGCTTGTCGGAGCTTCACGTTGCGAGCCAAACACAGAAGGCGTTCTGCGTCTCCTGATCGTTTCCAGCTGCCTCGGTAGCGCCGTGCTGGGGCCACCGACGTGTTGACACAAGAGGAGGAGGAGGAGGAGAGGCGTTTTGGGTTTTTCCCTCTTGCTTGCCCCTTGCAGGCCCACGCCACGTGGTGAAGCTTAGAGGCTGACACGTGGTTTATGTGTTACCGAAGAGAACCGACGGAAGAACGGGGGCCCCCCCGCGCCCCCCCCCCTTCTCTCCACTGTCCCGACGACAGTGGGGGGACGACGACGACGAGAAGGTGGAGGAGGCACAAGAAGTTGTGGGGTCGGGGTAGTGCGGTAGCTCCTCCATGAAATGGGATGACCAGGGAACTGCACCGCCACCAATGCGGTGAGGCGCAGACCATCAGGTGGATGTCACCGATCACTGCCCGGCTACAGCGCGCGTGGAGCGTGGAGCGAGTGCAAGGGCTCGAGCAAAACACGGAACGTACAAAATGTCGCCTGTCGCTTTATCTCAACGCCAAGTGGAGGAAGCAGAAGAGTAAAGAAGCCCTTGTTTAGACGCTAATGCTCTCCCCGAACGCCCCAGCCTCGCCGTAACGATTAGCATGGCGAAGATAAATAATGTCAGTAATTAATATTAATAAACACTATTGATAAATAATATTAGTAAATAATATTAATGAATACTATTCATACGTAATATTAGTAAATAATATTTAAAAAATATTCATTATATTCTTTGGGTCTTTCGGTAAAGCCACGTAGATAGAAAAAAACTACACTCAAAATCACGATGTTTCGATCGCAACACAAGCAATCGTCAGGTGAAAAAATAAAATATATGTTGGTAAATAATATTAATAAATAATATTGATAAATAATATGTTGGTAAATAATATTAATACATACTATTCAGGCTGCAAGAGAGGTGCCTGGGGCGGCTCGCCAGCGGTTGCCCCTGCAGCAATGAACATGGACATGGAGAGAGAATTCATCGCGGAGACTCGTGCGTGCTGGTGAGCAAATACAAACAAGAACAAGCCGAGGTGAAACGCGTTGAGAGTACGGCCATCCCTTCAGGCGGTAGTGAAGGCGTGACCACAATAACAACAACAACCGCCACCGCCGCATTGGCACGAGGAACCACGAAAGAGCAGGGAAGGTGGCAGCAGCAGCAGCCAGGCGACGAGTCGGCGCCGCCGACAATTTGCCAAAGCTTTGCGGTCCTCTACATAGAAAGGTGTCATCGGCCACTCGATGAGAGTTTCCGTGCGCGGAAGAAAGCCATGAAGAGAGCCATGAAGAGAGCCATGAAGAGAGCCATGAAGAGAGCCATGAAGAGAGCCATGATGAGAGCCATGAAGAGAGCCATGAAGAGAGCCATGAAGAGAGCCATGATGAGAGCCATGAAGAGAGCCATGCGTGGGGGGGGGCAGCACTCCGCTCCACGCCGGTGAAACGGGTGGCAACCAAATTCTGTCGGGCCGCGTTTTCCTGGTGACCCGGGGCAATGGCGGCTCCTCGACGCCAATGGGAAGGCAGTTTCACAGCCCATCTGTGTGAGGTCCACCGACCCCCAACCCCCCAAAGTGCTGGCTTGCAGGCGTGGGTCACCGCCGCCCGGCTGGTGGTATCATCAATAATACAGCCACGTGTTCAGCTCTCTCGAGGTGGTGGTTAAGCCGAGGCAATGTGGTGGTCATAAGACATGCACACACGCAAGGCATGATGGGAGTTTGTGTCTTCCCTCTGTTTGTAAGCAGCGCACGTGTGCCTTGTTGTTGTTTCCACACCTGACTCTGCTAATGAGGCTGAATGTTCGAAACCAGTCCAGAGTTTTCTCGTATGAACCCAGCGCTGCTGAACTAATGTTAGCTTAAGTATATCCACAAAGCTAAGTCTGTCTGCAAAGTTGACACGGGACACATGAAATGAAACTTTGAGTCATCCGATCTGTTTGTGGGGCATGTGCGGTCACCTGTTGGGAGTTAAGCATCCACGATGTGGGATGTTGTGTCTGAGACGATTAATTTTGTCATCGCCGCAACCGAATGGAAGCTATTTCACAAAAACACACGAAAAAAGGTCAGGTTCAAACAAGGAGACGTTGAATGTCGAAACCGTCACAGGAGGTCTGCGTGTATTTGGGCGTTTCCCCCGTTGCACGGGGGCTGTCGATGCGGTCGAACGTCGCATAGAGCGTGACTCGCCGGTGATGAGAAGCATAAAATGGAATTTGTGAATATCCCGTAGTAAAAATTACAGCTGCACCACCACCAGGCACAAACACTGCGCTAAGTGTGGGTGGTTGATCGGTCGGGGCGGGAATGTGACGCTCGGATATGTGACGATCGGGTACGCGAATGCTCAGGTACATGACGCTCGGTTAGGCGACGTTTTATTGCGTGCATTTTTTGTTTGGAACTACATTTAATAGTGCCAATTAAGTGGCTTATCATGTAGCCATTTATCGCAGCCAAAAACTCTAAATGCTCGTTGATTGTAAATGTGGAGGGAAAAACTGGAGGAGGACCCGGAGAAAAATCCACGCGACCACGGGGAGAACACGCAGATTCCAAATAAACAGGCGTCAGGGTCGGGATGGAATCCACGACCTCCTGTATACCAGGCGAGGTAGTTAACATCTCGCCACCGTAGCGAGAGATGCGTGATAAGATGGAGAGATACGGTGCGATAAGAAAAGAGGGTTGCAGACAAGATCAAGTAGCATTGGACCGTGCATTTTGGAATTGGCTCGTCACAATTCTCTGCGGTTTCACTGGTGGTGTGGGGAGGTTTTTAACTTTCATTATTCTCACGGCGTATTGCTTTTTTTCTTACTCCACGTGGCATGTGACCTGCCCTGTTGATCTGTTTGTATTGGCGGATATCCTCCCACTGCCGCTGCCCTTGTTCTGCCAATTGGCCCGTCGCCACCGTGGGCAGCCACGGTGGCGAGATGCTGGAAAGCTGGGAGGGTTGGGGGACAGGTGACGTGACCCCCGTTGGTGGATCTCCCCACCCACCTACCCTCATTAACGATGACGCTCTGCGGTTCGTGTGTTTTTTTTCTTTTTTATGGTGTTTGCTGGCAGGGCGAGGGTTCAGTCTGCAGGACCGCACACAAGAGTGAGTAGAGCACGTGGCGCCTAACACGCGCCGCACACCACTTGCAACGCCGCGAGAGGGCCGGTGCGGTAGCCGCCCCCCCCCCCCCGCGCACCCTCTGGGGCGGTTGCAGCGGTTTAGAGTCGCACAACTCGCGATCGGAAAGGTCACATGACTCCTAATTCCTCGTTGGGATAGTGGGGGGGGGATCAACCCGGCCTCAATCACCATCAACATCGATCCAGGCTTCATACATTGAGCACGGCATTGCGGGAAAGTCGAGAGTGGTTGTCCTGTGGAGAGACTGGCCCACCTATCACGGGAATGTGGAGTTTTTAAACATCCAGCTGAGGACCGCCAAGGGACGATGGGGGTCGTCGTGGTCTCCGGCAACTTTCGATCGCTGAGATACTGGACTTCGGTTTGACGCTAACAAAACAAAAAGAACGCAAAAGGTGTGGTCGTGCATTTGCTCTTATCAACCGCACTGTGTGAGGAAAGGGCCCGCACCTGAAGCAAGCTCCCGAGAGCCTCTCCAGCGGCTACATTTTGGGCCAAACTCTTCCACGCCGACAAAGACGTCTTGGAAAGAGGCGGGAACACCGAGCACTTTACAGCCGCACCGCGTGCGATCTGCTAAAGTCGACTGTGGCGAGACCCATTTTTGTGGTGGGGGGGAAGAGGGTCAGTTCGAGAATCCCACCACCGTCGTTTCGACCGCCACGCCGGGAGATAGAATCGATAACCGGCGACCCAAGTGCGCTGACCGCTACACACGACCTAGACCGCACACACGCAGAGAAGCATCGGGAAGGTCACCTTCATATTCTGTGTACGTTCTGCTCCGCTGTGTGGCAGTGAACTCGGCTGCCCCCCCAGCCTCATTATCCTAAGTTCAACACCAGTGCCAACAGGGATTGATCCTTAAGTCAACCTCATTCATACCCAGCAGTTTCCAGCAGGGATTAAGAGGCTTCGGCAGAAAGTAAAACCCATGGCATGTGACTTATAAACACACACACAGAGAACCATAGACAAATATCCCCCTGTGTAGCCTACGCAGACTGTTGGTGCAAGTGCTGTTAGCGAGCGCCTGTTAAAGGCTGCGTGGCGCACTAGGACTAGGAGTGGCCTTCATCGTGCCTGGCCGCCTTTGGGTCCTCCCCCGCCATGCCAATATTTACACACTGCACCAGATACTCGTTTAAGTCCGAGTCGACCTAGAGGGAGGCCTGGGACAGCTTCAGACACCGCATGCCCGTCATATGGTGTTGGGACTCGTGACCGGGAATCAAACCTAGGTCGCCGGGATAGTTGTGCAACTCTCCAAACACAAATGTATAAAAGCCTCAGGTCGTCTGTGCAGCCTCCGTAGACTGTTGGGGTGTGCGGGTGGGGAGTGGGCAAGTGCTGTGAGCGAGCAGCCCGTGAAGGAGCGTGCGGAGCACTCGCACGCGGTGCGGCCAGAGCCGCGGCCACGGCCCACTTCGCTTGCCGATGTATGTTACACCCCGCACCACCGGCTACCTATTTAAGGCTGAGTCGACCTAGGCAGGGGGAGGGGGCGGGGATGTCCATCCATAACGGTCGCTATAGGTTGGCCGCGGGCAGGAGAATCTCGAGTTATTTCGCCACGAAAGACAAAGATAGCAGCAAGTGCTGATAGCGAGTAGCACCTATGAAGGCCCTGATGGCACACGAGGGGGTGGGTTCACAGCACCACGCCCGACCGCCTTTGTCTCCCCAGTGGCGGCGTTTACCACACACCGCACCAGGTACTCATTTGAGGCTGAGTCGACCTAGGGGAGGTTCAGGACCGGTTCGGGGCAGCTAATGTTAATGTGAGTGGTGGCCAGCGAACGCGGCGGTGGTGGGTTTTCCACCAATCGAAGGGCTGCCAGGTAAAAAATTAACACACACACACGTACACACACACACACGTACACACACACACACACGTACACACACACACGTACACACACACACGTACACACACGTACACACGCGTTGCGTGCGAGTGGCCACCTGAGTTGTGTGAGCTGCGTGGTGTGTTCGCTGTGTAAACCCCCACGCCCCTTTTGTCGCCCAGGTTTGACAAGAGGATCGTCGTGCCCATGTGCGTGCCCAGTCACGTGCAGGAGAAGTTCAAGGCCTCATATCCTGGGTAATGATCATCATCGTCATTTACATAAAGTTTTCGCGCAGTTCGGTATTTGCGCCGTTTGTTAGAGGGCAAAAACGCTTTGCCATTTCATATTTATGTCATTTCAACACCGGTATTTGTGCCAATCTTCACCTGTATTTGTGCCACATTTGTACAATTTCAACACCGGTATTTGTGTCATTTGTTAGAGCGCAAGATGCGCTGTCGCGAAGGAAGGCGCCGCTGCGTTACCACCGGCAGGAGCTTCACGCAGTCGTATGGGGGAGCGATGGTGCTATCCGCAGCCCTAATCGAGTTAACTTCTTGGAAGTGTTTTGTGTTTTTTTAAATTAGAAAATTTGGACCGTGACAGCCGGCACACGACGGCCTACTCCACGTTTACCCGAACGACGTCACAGGAACCTTTAAGAGGGTGGCGAGTCAAAACGTCAGTGGGCATTCTTCCCCGGCCGGCGGTGATGACCAAAGTCAACCGTTACAAATTCCATCGTCTAAGATGGCCAAGTCATCCTGTTGATGGACGTTTAAGCCCTGATAGGTGGCCACACAGACATACACACACTCCCCACAGACAGAATGGACGAGATTGACAGATACGCTTTTCACTGGATGTGTTCTTGTCGCCTTTGCGGATTTACTTAAGCTGCGTCGCTCAGATGGCGTCGCGCTCGAGTGAAACGCGCGCTTGTGTGCGTTCACCTGCGTGCGTTCATCCCTCTGTGTGTGCGTGTTCACCTGCGCTCGCTGCTACGCTGCACTCAATGACCCCGTACTCAGTGGCACCCACCACATCGTTGCTCGCTGCCTTAAACCCACAAACGTCAACGGTTTGAACAGCGGGGAGCACAACCGGTGCATCTGCCATTCGTCTCAGTCAGTCAACCCATCGCACTTGGGTCCGTCCCGTGGGCTTCTGTTAGCGTGCCTTCCGACACTTCGCACGGCTTCAAAGTGGCACAAACGCCGTGGTGACGTCACCCGCCACTCAGTGGCGGGTGACGATTTGTTGTTGTGTGTGCTCACGTGTGTGTGTGTGCTCACGTGTGTGTGCTCGCGTGTGTTCGTGCTCGCGTGTGTGTGTGTGCTCGCGTGTGTGTGTGTGCTCGCGTGTGTGTTCGTGCTCGCGCGTGTGTGTGTGCTCGCGTGTGTGTGTACTCACGTGTGTGTGTGCTCGCGTGTGTGTGTGTGTGCTCGCGTGTGTGTGTGTGTGCTCGCGTGTGTGTGTGTGCTCACGTGTGTGTGTGTGCTCGCGTGTGTGTGTGCTCGCGTGTGTGTGTGTGCTCGCGTGTGTGTGTGTGCTCGCGTGTGTGTTCGTGCTCACGTGTGTGTGTGTGCTCGCGTGTGTGTGTGTGCTCGCGTGTGTGTTCGTGCTGTGTGTGTGTGCTCACGCGTGTGTGCTCACGTGTGTGTGTGTGCTCACGTGTGTGTGTGTGTGCTCGCGTGTGTGTGTGTGCTCACGTGTGTGTGCTCACGTGTGTGTGTGTGCTCACGTGTGTGTTCGTGCTCGCGTGTGTGTGTGCTCGCGTGTGTGTTCGTGCTCGCGTGTTTGTGTGTGTGCTCGCGTGTGTGTGTGTGCTCGCGTGTGTGTGTGTGTGCTCGCGTGTGTGTGTGTGTGTGCTCGCGTGTGTGTGTGTGTGTGCTCGCGTGTGTGTGTGTCTGCTCGCGTGTGTGTGTGTGTGCTCGCGTGTGTGTGTGCTCGCGTGTGTGTGTGCTCGCGTGTGTGTGTGTGTGCTCGTGTGTGTGTTCGTGCATGCTTGTTCATCCCTATATGTGTTCGTCCCTATGTGTGTTCACCCTGCGTGTGTTCTTCTGTACGTGTTCGCATGTACGGGTGTGTTCAACCACATGAATGCGCGTGCGTTTGTTCAAGTTCATCACACCACCCCATCACACACGTTGGATTCCAGCCTTAAGTAGGTGCTCGCTAACAGCACTTCCCTCAATATGAAAAATAAGAACAGGTTTTACCCTTTCTGGCAATAAAAGATGTGTTAAGATGTTCAAACACCAAGTAGATACCTTTTGCGAGGCAGAAAGTCTGCATTAACCACACGTACTTGTGGTGAGCGTGTTTGAAGGCTCAAGAAGGAATATTTATATTGACGAGAGTGGCACAGTTCAGGGATGGGACGCGTCAGAGAGGACAAGGAGATGGAGTGATGAAATCGGCTCACGTGCAGGTGGATTTTTACACCACCGGATAGTGAGAGATGGCAACTGCTGACGGAGACCTTCATCAGCGGCAAAGTTTACAACGCAGTTACGTAACACGTTTGCATTGCCGCCAAATCAATGTGTGCACCATTTGACCACCGGTTTTCCCTTATCTGCAACACACAAACGCCTGCAGGTGTCACGCGCACTCACCCCGTTGCGTCGCCAGCGTCGCTGGCAAGAGCACGGCGCAGCCTTTGCCAAATGCGGTTCCAGTTAATGAGGGCCTCCGATATAAGCGTGGCCCCTTTATGCGTGTGCCACCGATCGCTGGAGGGCTCCAGGCCGCGGCTCAGCTCTGCCTGAAGCCCAGCATCTCACCCACCGCTCTGCCGCGCATCTTGCAGCGCGGCAGGCAGACAATTCCCTTTCTCAATCCGTACCGACTCCGTGCAGCTGACTGACAGGAGAGGCGGGCTGACCAAACCAGCTCGTTCAAGGGAGACCGTGTTTCATCCTCCTCCCCCAGGGCTTTACGACCGGAATATTTGCCAAGATGTTGTTTGCTTTCTCTCGCTCGCTCGCTCGCTACGCACTCCGATGTAAATGTTCACAACAGAGACGTTTATCGCGACATCGGAGGCCCGGGCGCAGAGCCGGCGCCGTCGCTTCAGCCTTCTCAAGCGGCGGCGTCCGCATGGCCGGTGCGACTTTTGCAGGGTGGACTTGAGCCAGGCCGGCAACCCGTTCCTGGGAGAAAAGGACATGGAGAGGTTTCGATACCAAAATCAGGACATTCGGCGCCACAGAAAGGCCTGGATCTACACAATGGAGCAGCTGCCCTACAAGATAAGAACCGTCTGTGAGTTTGTATTTATTCAGGGAAACCGCCGCAGTCCCAGGGCAGTTTGTTCATTATCGCCGGGAAGCGCCACGGGTGGCGCAAGTTGTCAGAGTGCTTGGCGGTAACGATCGGAAGATCGCCAGTTCAAATTTTGGTCATGGGCTGAATTGGCCAAATCGTCATCGGCATCAGTGTCATCATCATATGCATCATGATCCGTCCGTCATCTCGTCATTTGTAACGAGTTTGTGTACGGTATCGTTTTTTGCGTTGAACAGGGCACCTGTAGTCTCTAGTGGAGTGCTCTTGACAATAACATCTGGTAATTTATCTGCCTGGCCCAGACCCACGATGTTGTAACGGTTCTTGCGAAGTATGCTAGCTGCAAGCGAATTCGGCTCCACAACAATATCGGTTCGGAAGGCTAATCAACTCGGACAATGTGGTTCAACAATGTTTTTCTTTCTACGTGGAGACAGAATTGAGTTAGGTCATCACCGAGTAGCTGCAGCCTTCCCCTCTGGTGCTGAATTATCGCCAATCGGCATTCCAGGCATACCTCCCTCTGCGCCGCACACAGCGGAGTCTTAACGTCCCGAGTGATTTATCGTTCTTGACGGCGTGACGCTCATGCAGCGCGAAGTGAGGTGGGCACGTGGGGATATGGACGTTTTCCATGCTCCTTGTCCAATTATCGCTCGCTTGTCGTAACTGCCCTGGTTAACTTTACTCACCCACCCACCGACACACTCACTCACCCACCCAACTCACCCACCCAACTCACCCACTCACCAAATCTCTCTTCTATCACTACCACAATGGTCTCCATTCCCATGACCTTCCATCCACACTGTTCAACCTCCACCGAACTGCAGGTCCCAACAACTCACTCACTTCACCCATTCACACAATCACTCACCCACTCACTCACCCATTCACACAATCACTCACCCACTCACTCACCCATTCTCACAATCACTCACCCACACTCACCCATTCACACAATCACTCACCCACACTCACCCATTCACACAGTCCAATCAGGTCGTTAAACTAGCAACTGCGATTTTTGAGGAAGTGAAACTTATCGCTGAAAGTGAACCGCACAGCTTTTTGCAACGCGATGATTCAACGTGCATTTTGCGGTTAGGTCGCAATCACGACTTCACCAGCGGTTGTGTCGCAGCCAAACTAAAACAGAATCATCGCACGGCTGCGCAGGCGTTTAACAACGTGACAACAAAAAACAAAAGTCAGCTCGCCGCAAAGTCCGAGCGCAATTCTTGCAGCCCAATCTTTTGCTAATTTCGCACGAACCACGAATGTCAGTGCGAAGCGCGAGTAATGTGTGGGGTGCATTCACCATCGCAATGCCGCGCTCCGCCTGCTTCACGGTTGACGTTAAAGTGTGCCGTGACGTCGTTCAAACAAAAAAGTCGGCTTATTGTGCGCCGGCGTTTATGGTCCAAATTTGTTTTAAATCTTGGGTGGGCGGTTTGCACAACACAGCAGCATCACCCCTTCACCGCGACGCAGCTGCGGACTGCGCCTGCGAGAAACACGACCGCACCTTCCCGTATGATGGCCGCCCTGCCCTGTGAGCGAGGCACGAATGCCAAAGCATACGGAGTATTTGAGTGGCTTCCGGGGGGGGGGGGGGGTGTAGGCAACTGTGGTTTAAGCGTCACCACCCCCCGCTCCCTCCACTCCCCTGCCCATAACAAACGAGGTTGTTATTATTTCCCCCCAAGGCCGTGGTTTTGTTGGAGTGGAAAGTAAAAGTGCGCCTAATTAAATGCCTCAACGTAAACAAAATTTCACCCCGTTCCTCCAATTTTAAATAAAGTCACAGAGCCCAGCCGGCTCCGTTCCTGAAACCTGAATATATTTTGAATATTCTGGGGGGTTTCACAGAGGGTTCACGATGACCATATCGGGGCCCCACTGAGCTCATGCTTACAAGAATTGTATTTTTTTCTGGGTTCAAGACGCGAGTCAGCACGACTGAAACGCTGGGCCTCAAGCCCTGGGTCTGGGCGTGTCTCTCTCTGTCTGCCCCAGGTGGTTGATAATGGCTATGTGGGGGCCCAACTTATTTAATATGAATCCAGATGTGTTTTGAGTTGTATCACTTTAATATCTCACAGCTGTATAATCACTTCATCAATGCCTTGTGATTTCAGCTGACAGCATGAACATGAGATCCCTTTTGCAACTCCTGAAACATCCACTTTCCGTGGACAAATTAGCAAGGTGAGCAAAAACACCGTACGTGAGAAGTCTAGTTACGGACAACGACTGACCCCTGCCACGGGAATGTGGAATATCCACCTGGCCCGTGACCACGCGCTGGCAGCGAGCACCGTGCCGACACTCGTCTCCGGGTCGTGCCGCGTGCCGGGAAGCTTCTTCAGGGAAACCCGAATCGATGTTCACGTTAAAGTTGAATGGCCGCTCGTGGCCATGTTGGACGTCGTGCCGAGCGACGCGTGGCACGGAACGGCAGCGCGCCGGTGAGCCGCGACAGCAGCACGACTGCGAAAGCGAACGAGGTTGGCGCTACGTGCGGCTTCCGCCGTGTGCGTGTTGCGTGCTCTGCTGCGGTTGTAATGATCGTAACAATTTGCCGCCTTCATCGGGAGAGCCGCACTGAGTTGCGGGACTCTTTTCGGGAGGGTTCTGGCACGTTGGGTTTTTATTTTAGAATGTGGTGTGGGTGCACTGTTTGTGGCGTGCGTGGTGTGAGTGGTGTGGGTGGCGTGGGTGGTGTGTGTGGTGTGCGTGGTGTGGCTGGCATGCGTGGTGTGGGTGGTGTGGGTGGCGTGGGTGGTGTGGGTGGCGTGGGTGGCGTGCGTGCGTGGTGTGGGTGGAGTGGGTGGTGTGGGTGGGGTGGGTGGTGTGGGTGGTGTGAGTGGAGTGGGTGGCATGGGTGGTGTGGGTGGTGTGGGTGGTGTGGGTGGTGTGTGTGGTGTGGCTGGCATGCGTGGTGTGGGTGGTGTGGGCGGTGTGGGTGGGGTGGGTGGTGTGAGTGGAGTGAGTGGAGTGGGTGGTGTGGGTGGTGTGGGTGGTGTGTGTGGTGTGGCTGGCATGCGTGGTGTGGGTGGTGTGGGTGGTGTGGGTGGGGTGGGTGGTGTGGGTGGTGTGAGTGGAGTGGGTGGTGTGGGTGGTGTGGGTGGTGTGGGTGGGGTGGGTGGTGTGGGTGGTGTGGGTGGTGTGTGTGGTGTGGCTGGCATGCGTGGTGTGGGTGGTGTGGGTGGGGTGGGTGGTGTGGGTGGTGTGTGTGGTGTGGCTGGCATGCGTGGTGTGGGTGGTGTGCGTGGTGTGGGTGGTGTGAGTGGTGTGAGTGGAGTGGGTGGCATGCGTGGTGTGGGTGGTGTGGGTGGTGTGGGTGGTGTGTGTGGTGTGGCTGGCATGCGTGGTGTGGGTGGTGTGCGTGGTGTGGGTGGTGTGGGTGCACTGTTTGTGACGTGCGTGCCGTGCGCTCCGCAGTGCGCAGTGCCGGCGCTGCGTCGTGGTGGGCAATGGGAACGTGCTCAAGGACAGCGGCCTGGGCAGCTGCATCGACTCCTACGACATCGTCATACGGTGAGACGGCGACGATGAATATAATAATAGCAATACTGATTGTTAGAATCACGACGGTCAGAACGAATGGAATTTGTGCAAGGTGATCACCGGTGGGCGGGGGGAGGCGACGCCGCTGTGTGGTACCCGATCGATGAGACTCTCAACGTCGAGACCGGCTTTGCTCCTGCCAGCGTGCGCTCTGTTGCATTAAACGCTGCTGGAAGTATGCAGAAGCATGTGCGGCTGATGGGATAGGTTTCACATCGTTATTTATTACGTGGAGGGGCAGATTTGGGAAGGAGGATATGTGTATTGTTTGCTGCTGCAATTTTTTTTTACCCAATTCTGTAATTATATAACTTTGTTATTTGGCTAATTTTTACAGGGTGCCGCCGGCACGCATTGACCGACCTCCGTTTGTTTGGCTCACGTCAAGAGATCTTTAACATCGACTGTGAAGCAGACGGGGGTCGTGGGGCAGTGAGACCAACTCGCTACGGTTTAGCCGCCCGCCACGTCCGCCAGTCGTTGTGAGCGTCGCTCCTCAGCCTCAAAGTGCACGGCCCAGTTAGCATCCTCACGAGCCTCCTCCACTCGAGGCCGATCTTGATGCCGCTGATACCAAACCATCGAGAAGTCCACTCGGCTCCACATCATGCTCTACCACACCAGCCCGCTCAGAGCTTCTTCAGCCTGTGCTGTGCCCGTTTAGCCCCCTCTATGTGGCCACACGCACACGAAGACCCCCCCCCCCCCACCGTAGCCATTAACAGACTGTTGGGGCAAGTTCTTTTTGCAAGCACCTAATCAGGCCGGCAAGGCACACGAGGGGCTGGGTGGCCAACACGACGCTCAGTTGCCTTTATCTCCCAGTGCTGATGTTTACACACCCCATCGGGCACTCGTTTAAGGCTGAGTCAACCTAGAACAGACTCAGAACCAGTGTAAAATATTCGCCACTGTTATTGTTCACGAGCGAAGACTCGAACTCGGGCCGCCGCATTTGTAGCACAGTGCACGAGCCGCTACACTACCGCGCCCGCGCACCACGCGCACCACGCGCACCACGCGCACCACGCGCACAAGCGCCAACGATCTTCTTTGTGCGTGCAGCATGAACGACGCGCCGCTGCGCGGGTTCTCCCGCGACGTGGGGAACCGCACGTCGCTGCGGCTCTGCTACCCGGAGTCGTTGCCGGACACGAGCGCCGAGCACGACCGCTCCTCCTTCCTCGTCTTCCTGCCCTTCAAGTCGCGCGACCTCCAGTGGCTGTTGGCCGTCCTGCGCAAGCAGCCCGTGGTGAGTGCCGCGTGATGGGGACGATGGTAGCGGCAGAGGGCGGGGGGGGGGTAGTTGTTGGTAGGATCCACCCCCTTGTTCACGCCAGGGCATCTCGGAGCGATTTACTCACGGGATATGCGACTGGCATCGCGTCTCGTCGCAACGCCAGCATCTACGCTCCAAGCCACCCATAAGTCTGCCAGTAGTGGGCGATGGTTGCCATGTGGTCTAGCCTAGGGGACCCCCAGTGGCAGCTGTCCCTGTGTGGCACGAGGTGACTCGGCATCTGCATTTAAAGCTGCCATAAGTCTGCCAGTAGTGGGCGATGAATGGCATGTGGTCTAGCCTGCTCTGGTGGGGGATGCCGGCCTGCGCCGTAATGGATCGCCCACTGGACCTACGCTCACAGCATGACATTTGGTCGGGAATGTTTGGAATGCGCTGCCCCTTACTGCGCTGACCCGCAGGTCAACTTGTGGAGATCTCGGAGTTAGCTCCGTGGTGTCCGCTTCCCTGGGCCATTCTCCACTGCTCTGTGAGAGTTTCCGAATGGATTCTTCGCTTCTCGACGCGATGCTTATAGCACGACGGGATAACTTGGGGTGTATTTTATTGCGGACGCGCAGTACTATAATCCATCACAGATTTTTGGGCTTGGCCACATGACGATATGAGCAAATGTAGCAAGCATATAAGTATCTGTAATAGAGGTTGTTTTTGGGTTGGATCGCGAAAATATGAATGTGTCGTTAAACCCGCCACCACCCGACAGCCAATTAGCAAGGTTTGTCACGTAAACAGAACGGGCAAATTCGTTACTAGTTCAGCACACCGGTGAATTGGAGAATGAACCCACAAAATGTACAATTGTATCTGATTATATACACATCTACAAAGTACCTAATTAGACAAGTATCTGATTAGATACATTCATTTGTGAGAATTCTTCAACTGAGCCGGGGAGTGAGCTGTTATGATAAAAAGTGATCACGCTGAACGCTGTCACACGTGACAATTCAATGAGTTTAAGTCCTCGCGCAGTGCAGTGAAGGGGTACTTTAGAGACACGAATTTTCCCAGATCATTATGTGTCGTCTAATCCCGGAGGCGTTCAGTAACTCACAGCACGGGAGAGGATTGAATGAATATCGGAAATGAATAAATGTACAACGCGAAGAAATTACGGCCGAACAAAATACGCGCAGAAAGATGGACGCAATAGCTGTGAACGCTGAAACCAGCATGGCAATGTGTCGTGATGAGCGCAACACCCAGTCACCTTTGTCTCCCCCAGTGCTGACATTGCACCGCCCATGCTGTTTACCCACCAAAAGGTTGCGTTGACTCAAGGCAGTTCCTCCAGGCCGAGTTCGCAGCACGCGTCACCCATGTTTGTCCCGGCTGGGAGGGAGTGACTTTGGCCACTGGGAATACGGCTTATTGAACCAGCCGGAGCGCCACCACTCCCCGCTAATCACACGCATGCACAAAGATCCCCCCGTACAGCCTTTAACAGGCTGGTGGGGCAAATGCTGTGAGCGAACGCAGATGAAAGTCGGCACAGCACATGAGGGGGTTGGTTTCCAGTGGCGATATTTACACAAAGAGCCACGTACTCATTTGAAGCTGAGTTGAACTTGAGGAGGTCCAGGACCGGTTGAGATAATTATAATCGACACTGGTGTTGGCAATGAGCAGAAATCGAAGTTGGGTCGCCGGGCAGAGCGCACAGGACGCTCATCACTGCGCCCCACAACCACCACCACCTAGTCACTACTCCACCACCAACAATACCACCACCACCACCACTAAATAGTTACACGCTACCACCACCAACATCGCCGCTGTCACCAACACCACCATCACCACCACCACTGCTTAGTCACTACATCATCACCACCACCGCTGAGTCACTTACACCACCATCATTGCTACTATCACCACCGTCACCACCACCACTACCACCATCAGCGAAACACGAGTTGTTTGTGCGAAGGTCACCGACACGCTCCGACTGATCGCTACTGAACTCCGTCCGCCCTCGTCTGTAGAGTACGCACGGGTTCTGGAAGACTCCGCCGAAGGCAACGTCGTTCGCGAGCGACCACATGAACATCATCAACCCCGATCTCATCAAAGTGGCCGGGCAGCACTTCGTCGGAATCTCTCCGGAGAATCTCATCTCAGCGGTAACGCCGAGCGTCTAGCACACACAGACACACGCACGCAAGCACACACGCACACATGCACGGACACATGCATGCAAGCACGCACGCGCGGCGTGATGGAGAAACCTCCGCTCCGAACTCCCGCGAGGCATCGCGTTGGAGAGCGACCCCGTGCAGAGCTGCTCTTTGATTTCCCGAGTCCGAGGGAGCGTCTCCCCTTGCATTTCCCCCGCAACACAGTGTTTAGAGTCACACGAGCGGCGATCACACTGCAACGCTCAGTTCCCACAGCCGACGTTGAGGCTGCATTGGTAACGATGGTGGATGGAGGGGGCAGGGGGGGCGATTTTTTGCGTGGTCACCGTTGACTGGGATGATATCGTACGGTACGAAATCCACGATGAATCCTCTCGTCCACTTTCCTAAATCGGGATTATCGTTGTTGTTGGTTTGTTTTATTTATTTCATTTATTTGCGTATAATTTCTCCCGACCAAATATTCACGAAATAAAAAAAATCTCAATAATAAAATAGGAACAAACTCAACACGTGTGTCAATGACATAACCGCATGTGCGTGCATGTGCATGCATGCATGCGTGCGTGTGATTGGGCGTGATGCTGGCCACCCACCCCCACGTGTGGCATGCCGGCCTGCCTAGGTGCTGCTCGCTAACAGCACTTTCCCAAACATTCTGTTACACGCTACACGGGGGATCTTTGTACTTGGACTTGTTCTTAAAGAAACAAAATATCCTTGGCGACGTTGCGGGCAATGTCCCTTCTTCGTAGTACATAGCGAGGCCCGTAGAGAGAGGGGGAGTGGATGGTGGGAGTTGGAGACAGCGGTTCCTTTTAACTCCGTGGGTACCTGATGAGAATTAGGGTGAGAAATTGTTTTTCGATGACCCGGTTTTTAAATTGGCATGTGAATAGTGACGCTAACTGTAGCTGATGAGTAGTAATTCAACAGGTGTCACGTTGCCTGTTGAACAGTGCCCTTCCTTATTACAGACCAATTCAGACTTTCTCGGTCACCCCGTGTCATTTATAGATCTCAACGTTCATCCTACAAAGTCCCATCACAATGGAGAAACACAAATATATTTGTTTTGTTGTTGCCTGTATTGAAACGGCTGTACGCCGTATGGACCTGAAAACTCAATTCCCCTGTACAAGAACACGGGTAAACCGTGTGGGTTGACAGCTATGGATGAGTGAGCTGAGTAATTAACAATCGGCGCACCGTGAAACGTTCGTTGTGCACCACGTGACAATGACGTATCTGGTGGTGGAGGGTTTTTCGTGGCCTAACCCCACAAATCAATTATGAATCACAATAAAGTTCTAATGAAAGAGCTAATTGCCCTTGAAATTATGTGCTTTTAAAAAAAATTTCCACGGTGATTGGTGACATGATGTTGAACGTCTTTTGCCCGGAGCCAACCGTGCTAATCGGAGGTGATATTTGTACGATTTTCTTTTTGTAGTTTCTTGTGAATGACATTAATGTATCTTTTAGGCCACCGGCTCCTCTCTGGGTGGCTGCTGCCCGCTTGTCTGTGGTTCCTCCTCCCGGCGGTGGCGCGTTCTGAGTTATTATCATCACCGTCATCGTCACCGTCATCGTCACGCGTATCCAACAAAAGGGGGACCGTTGCACCAGGTCGTGCGACCTCTTACGACGGCACCGGCAGCAGAGGTTTTCTCTCGCTGCTCCTCGCGGCATCTCGCGGGCGACAAGTCCGCACCGCCCACTAAATTGAGGGCACGACCCCGGGGGGAGGGGGGGTGGGATGGGGGCGCCGTTCCTGCGTGAGGTGGTAATCCGCTCCGTCGGGGGGGGGGGGGGGGGGGGGCCTTCAGTGGATCGAGACGACGAGCAGCGGCGGTGCCCCGAATAACGATGGCCGCCCCCTTCGAAGTTGAGTAGCGGCACGCACGCGGCGCTCTGAACGCGCCGTGGATTGCAAAGTCGCGACGATTAAACAGCTGCCGCGCGGCCTCCACTTTTGAGCGAAACTTAACGTGACACCCCCCCGCCCGCCTCAGACAATCAATCGCGCAAGTTGAACCTCGGGCTGGCGGTTGTGGTTCAGCATTTGTTAAGGGGTTGTGTTGTTTTTAACGATTGCCAGCGAAATTAATTTACACCCTCTCAGCCAGCAGACCGCAGACTTGGTGAGAAATGTCGCGCGACGGAATCGCTGAGCTCGCACCTGAGATGTGGTGCCGCGCCTTGACCCCCCCCCCCCCCCCCCGGGGCATGTCGCTCGACCGAGTGCCCCACCCCAGCACCTCGCGCTCAGCGCTCAGCGCTTCTGACAAACGCTGAGGGATGCGCTGGCCGCCTGCCAAATGTGGAACTTCTGGTTTTGGTCCTCGTGCCGAGTTGTTTGGACAGCCGCCCGACACTGTGATGAATTCCCAAGTGCGTGTGTGCATGCGTGTGTACGTGCGTGTGAGCTATGAGTGTGTACGTGCGTGTGAGCTATAAGTGTGTACGTACGTGTGAGCGATGAGTGTGTACGTACGTGTGTACGTACGAGCGCCGCACGACGAATCCAGCGCTCGATTCCCGCTCACGGCCAACACCAGTGGTGACGATTATCTGAACCGGTCGTGAGCCTCCCCTAGGTCGACTCAGCATTAAATGAGTACCTGGTGCGGTGTGTAAAAGCATCGCCACTGGGGAGACAAAGGCGGTCGGCCATGCTGCTGGCCACCCACCCCCTCGTGTACCGTGCCGGCCTTCATAGGTGCTACTCGCTAACAGCACTTGCCCCAGCAGTCTGCTAAGGCTCGACGGGGGAGTGAGAGGGAAGCAGAAGTGGTGCTCTGAGTGTGCTGCGTCTCACTCTTGGCCAATGCCGGCGACAACAATCTGCACCAGTTCTGGGCATCCCCTCTGCCTCCACCGAGTTCCTGGTGCGATGTGTAAACATCGCCACTGGGGAGGCAAAGCATTCCCTGTCCACATCCATCAGCCATGCAGATTTCCATACGGCCCATATCTGATGGGAGAGCCTTTCGACATCTGTCAAATTCACTGGGATTGGTTCAGGCCAGCCTCGGTCTCAGTGGCTCGTCAACCAGTTCCAGAGTTAACTTGTGTTGATCCCATGTGCTGCTGGCATGATGCACTTCCAGAAGGCCGTGTTGGCCGATGGGATGTGTAACAAAATAAACACAAAAACGTTTATGCGAAGAGACGGATACGTCGAGGAGGAATGTTGCCAGTTATTCGCACCAGGGTCGTCTTTTCGCACTGCTGGTTGGTGTGACGTTCTTACCCACCACGTGTGTCAGGCCTCATCACAAATTCATCACAAATTCATCACAAATTCATCACAAATTCATCACAAATTCATCACAAATTCATACCTCCGCCCGCTGTGGCAGTTATCGCATACTGGGGCACATTCTGTAGGTTGAAAGTTCAAACGCCGGTCAGGAATCGACTAAACACATTATACCTTCATGGTGGGACATACTAAGTATTAGATCATGTTGGTGCTATAAATGTCCAAATGATGGGCCACTTTGTTGAACTATCATTTGTGTCCAGGTCGCTTCTGAAAGATAAGTTCGTACCTCAGTGGGTGTGGCCTGGTCGCATGGGGATGGTTTATTTGTGTTTGTATCTGTGTTTGGGTGATTTGTTTACTTTTCTTGTACTTTGCACTGCTATCGTGTTGTTGTGCTCTTTGTTGTTGTAACCCGCCCCTACTGGGCATCTGTGAAAATAACGAACTTTACAGCTCAACGGATTCCTCCGGTCTCGTCAATGTTATAATTCTGATGATCCCTGTACAACGTGTGCGTGTGGCTCCCTCTTGTGGACGAACCCTGGTGCCGGCGCCGTGCGTCCTCCGTCGAGCGGAGCTTGTGAATCCTTTCTTCTGCCGGACTGTCGGTTCGATTCCTCGACCAATCGGACGACATGAAAGTAGCTCAAAGTCGTGTTTTTCTGGGTTAGATCGCGTAACTAAAAATGCGTCGTCAAACCCGCCACCATCCGACGCAGCCAGTTATCAAGGTTTGTCACCTAAACAGAACGTGCCAATTCGTTACAATTCCTGCACACCGGTGCGTTGGAGAGTAAACCCACAATATTTACACTTCGAGTACGACGTTTTGCCAGTAATTACAACCGGCATCACACCGCTGTGCTGTACTCGTAACGAATCGGCACGTTCTGTTTACGTGACACATCTTACTAATTGGCTGTGTCTGGTGGTGGCGGATTTAACAACGTATTTATATTTCCACGATCTAACCCAAAAAAACCTCTATTATAGATCATATTGGTCGTTAAAGCCTACGTGTTAAAATTAAAGTATCTGTTAACATGGGCGGTGTGTAAATATCAGCAACTATGAGAGACAAAGGTGGCTGGGCATGGTACTGGCCACACCACCACCACCTTCTTGCACTCTGACAGCCTTCAGAGGCGTTTCCATTAAAAATGTTTTTTTAGTAAAAACTCGTCCCCCGCTAAAGAGGGCATCGCAATTCTTTACAGTATAAGTTGAACGAAGGTAGTTACTATACCTATACAATCAAGAAACCTATAAAAAATATCACAATGAGAGGACATACTCAAGGAAAAGTAAAAATTAGTCTCGCAGAGTTTCCTAAACTCTTTGTTTGCATGTTCACCACAAGTTTATGTGGTTAATGCAGACATGATTCCTTGTGAAAGGTTTATATTTGGTGTTTTAACATCTTAACATCTCCTGTTTTATTGCTAGAAAGGGTAAAACCTATTATGATATATTTCCTAAACTGTTTGGTGCTCGGAGCCAATCTGAGGGCCGGCGAAAGAGACTTCACATCTTAGGTGCCACACTCGAGAAGGCCCTACTACTGCCCAACGTGGAACGATCGCAAGCAGCACTTGCCCCAATAGTCTGTGAAAGGCCAAACCGCGGGATCTGTTAATCGTGCGTTGATGTGTGTGTGGAGCGGTCGTGGAGCGGTTAGCGTGCTGCGCTACGGCCCCGGCGACCCGAGTTCGATTCCGGCTCACGGCCAACACCAGTGACGATTATCTGAACCGGTCCTGAGCCTCCCCTAGGTCGACTCAGCCTCAAATGAATACCTCGCGCGTTTGTGTAAATATCGCCAATCGGGAGACAAAGGCGGTCGGGTGTTGTGTGGGCCACCCACCCCCTCGTGGGCAGTGCCGGCCTTGATCGGTGCCCGCGTACAGCGCTTGCCCCAACAGTCTGTTAAAGGCTACACGGGGGGGGGGGTCTTTTTGTTTTTATTTCACAGCCCCTGACTCCCACAACGGGCATCATCGCCATCACGATCGGGCTGCGTCTGTGCGACGAGCTGCACATCGCCGGCTTTGGCTACAACGCCAGTTCACCGGACAACCCGGTGCATTACTACGGCAACGACACCATGTCCTTCATGAACAAGGTGTGCGCAGGCCCCAGCGTCCGCACGACGGGGCTCCCGTGTCCCTCCGCCCACCGGAGGGTTCATCGTCGTCATCGTCGTCGTCGTCGTCGCAATCATAATGATGCCAAGCTATAACACGCCACCGTCGCCGCACAGCTCTCGCCCATCGCTCTCGTAGAGAGAAAGAGAGAGGGCGGCTCAGAGGCGCGAGGAGGAACCGCATCACGAGTGGGGAAGGCGGCAGTGGCGGCCGGGGGGGTTGAGCCGGCGCTACCAACAACTGCCCAAGCTCTGCGGTCCTCTGTAGAGTTGTTATTTGACAATTGACGAGTGTTTACACGCAAGTCCTATACGGAGGGAACTGGTGGAGTCCACATTTTTACTGCACCACCTCCTCCTGGGAAGCCAGGCTATGGCTCACCGACCCCCACGGGAAGCGAGTTTTGTAAAAATGCGTGTGACCCACCAGCCTTCACATCCACAGTGCTGGATTGCAGGCATGCGCCACCACCGCCCGGCTAAAGAATGTCTGTATCTAGTCACTGAGCCATCCTCACTGAGATCCTGGGTCTGAGTGCCTCTCTCTGTCTGTCAGAGGGTTCATAATCTCTGAGCCAGAACCACTGCATTCACCCTCTGACAGACAGAGAGAAACACTCAGACCCAGGGTCTCAGTGGGGCTGGCACAGTTACTGATGTAGACATTACGAACCCTCTGAAAGACAGAGAGAGACACTCAGACCCAGCGTCTCAGTGGGGCTGGCACAGTTACTGATATAGACATTATGAACCCTCTGACAGACAGAGAGAGACACTCAGACCCAAGGTCTCAGTGGGGCTGGCACAGTTACTGATATAGACATTATGAACCCTCTGACAGACAGAGAGAGACACTCAGACCCAGGGTCTCAGTGGGGCTGGCACAGTTACTGATATAGACATTATGAACCCTCTGACAGACAGACAGAGAGAGACACTCAGACACAGGGTCTCAGTGGGGCTGGTTCAGTGTCTACATCAGTCACTGATCCAGCACCACTGAGACCCTGGCTTCTAGACGTGGAGGAATGTCCCCGGCAAACCATGGCCCAAATAATCCCCATGATCGCACAACAAGGGGAGACCCCCCCCCCCATCCAGCTTTGGATTGATAAAACGGGGCTCTATCTGAAAGAATAGGTTTTATCCTTTCTGGCAATGAAACAGGCGTTAAGGTTAAAACATCTAATTGAAACCTTTTTTAAGGAACCATGCCTGCATTAATCACATATACTTGTGGTGAACATACAAACAAAAACATGCTCTGATAGTATATGCATTGTGTTTTAAATTGATTGGTCCACACCAGAGACAGCTTTCTTTAGAGCCTAGTCTCAAACATTGTTAGACCAGAGGATGCCTAAAGGCGAACAGCACAAAGACAATGCCACCATCAGGACATTGAGAGCTCGGGGTGAGCAGCTACATCATGGGACCTCCCTTGCCAGTATCAAAATGCAACAATAGGTTTTACCATTTCTGTCAATTAAACAATTGTGTTAAGATGTTAAAACACCAAACTGAAAATTCAAACAAATTAAACATGCTCTGGTAGTACTCTGGTAGTATATGCATTGTGTTTGGTTTGCATGTTCACCACAAGCATTGTGGTTAATGCACACATGATTCCTTGCAAAATGTTTCAGTTTGGTGTTTTAACATCTTAACACCTGTTTTATTGCCAGGAAGGGTAAAATCTATTATTTTATGTTGATACTGGCAAGGGAGCTCCCATGATGGGCTCTATCTGCACTGTGATTATAGAATTACATAGTGATACGTAAAAATAGTGATACTCGCATATATATATTGTGCCCATAACGTAACCAAACGTCTCAGAGCACGTATTTTTTTTTTACCTGCGGAACTCCGTATGAGCAGCTCGTCCGGACGTGTGGCATAAAGGGAACTAAGCATCTTGCCTGTGAGTTGGCAATAATATACCGGTAGGGGGCGATCTTTCCATTCGTTATATCAATTGTTTAATTTCAGAGTGATTTTTTTGTCACATTTACCATTACTATTATTCTGTTTGTTTACCCAGGAAAGCTTCACTGAGTCTTCAGGACTGTTTTTCAGGAGGATCCTGCAAAGGTTTTCACAGCAGGAGGGCGACGCTCGCTGATATGTGTAATACCAAATTACTCAACTGCGGTGTAATATATAAAATTGAGCAAATTTGTCCGGTGACGCTGGCACATGATGGCCTACTCTTGCGAATGACATCACAGGGTCTTTGACGTCCCCTGTGAAGCAAGCGGAACATCTTATTTCATGCTTAACATACCCGCAGCATTAACCAGGGCGGCCGCTGTGGATCGAACCACGAACCTCTGCGACAAGCGACGAGGACATCCACTGCCACGGCTGGGCCGTGTCTCTGCCCCAGCGATTGTTCAGCGTTTCCGCTTTGCAGCGAATGAACGAGAAAAGCACGTGAGCAGCTGTTGATCGCCGTGCCCTTCCTTGTCTTGCAGTCAACGACCCACAACATCACGGCGGAAGCAGCTTTCATTCACAAGCTCGTGGAGGACCGAGTTATCCTGGACCTGACGAGGCGGAGCAACAACCACGATACTCGGAAGAATGAACTGTGCAAAACCACGTGACGTTATTTAACAACAAAAAATTACGCAATTTTTTTTAGCATAATATTGAAGTTTTTAAATGTATTACCAATTCACATTCCAACGATACTCCGATGACGACGACGATGGCGACGATGACAAGTCTGACTATATCACGAGCTGATGAACGCGTTGTTTACGTAAGAAACCGCTCGACGCGAACGGCACGGCAAATGAGAAAGTGGCCGTAGAAGACGATGTCATGGAACTAACTCTGAGGTCGCTTCAATTGGTGTCTAATCGACGCTGGACGGTGGAGCGTTCCACGTGCCGTGCGGCAGTCGGTAGCGGTGCTCGGCGTAAAGCAAACCAAGCAAGAGGCCTCGGGGGCCCCACGTAGCTCGAAGGGACCCGGAATCACGACCCAGATTAAACCCATCTCCATCTTGTCTACATCTCTCATCTCACTGTACCTATTTCACCTGTATCTCTCTTGTCATCTCACTACATCCCTACGTCATACTGCTTTGCACTGGCTTCGGGAAGCTAATGTGATTGAGCTTATTGGCTTGTGATTGGTCGATCGCACTTTCAAGCCAATTTTCTAAATGATGGTTTTCACACGAAAATAAAAGCTATCCACGTTTCCCGCCGCCCCCCCCCCCCCCCCCCATTTTATTTAATTTTAGTAAGCTGTTGTCCATTTCATTTTTTTTTAGAACGGAAAAGAAAATTGGAAAATCCGTTTCAATGTATGGAAATGAATGTGGCGTGTGCAAGACGGCATAATACCGCCGCTGCCTTATCTGTAGATGCTCAAGAAATGTCAGCGGTGAATGTCATGAAGAGTGACTACAGTGTCATACGAACGACACTACCTGCAACAGAAAGTTGCGGGGTTTTTTTGTTTGTTAAATCGTCGTAGCAATTAAGTTTTATTGATTGTAAATAATGTAAACCTTAGACATATCACGTCACCGCGTGGGTTTTCCACGGTTGTGCCGCCGTGCGGCTCCTCCGATGTGTTTTTTTTTCGGGTTGTGTTGTTCGGAAAAAAACGATGTTTGACGTTTTTGCTCCCAGCAGTTTCTGAAGAAGCTCCCCAGCAGCGCTTGTAGCGAAACGTTGAGCACCGTGCAAAACTTGCCGGAACAACCCCACGGAGAACGCAGCAGAGAGTCATGTCCTGTCATATAATTTAAACAACTATAGATTTTATTTTTACATCAAGACAAAAGTAGCTCTCTCCGCTGTGTTCTTGGGTCATACTGCGTGCTGTGTGAGCTGTTCTGCGTGATGTCCGACGCTTCGTTCCAGAGAGCATCTTCAACAACCGAGCAACACGTGGGGGAGCTATGCGGCACAATCACGAAGAGCCCTCGTGGGCGTATCCAAGACTCATTTTACAGGGGGCTACTGCTTGGAATTGGGCGGCCAATTCCATTTAAGAGTTCAGACACATTTCTGAAGTGATCACATACCTGTCAACCCCGTATCGGTGCCCTACCTTTATAAAAGACCAATTCAGACATTATTGGTCAACCCGTGCCCTTTACAAATCCCAACGTTTATCCTACAAAGTCCCATCACAAGGGAGAATCACAAATAAATAGACAAATGTGTTTTGCCCGTATTGAAACGGCTGTACGCGGTATGGACCTGAAAACTCCATTACCCTGTACAAGAATACGGGTAACCCGTATGGGTTGACAAATGTAATCTTATCCCTACTGAAACTAAAATAAACACATTACCAAAATAATGTGAAATACAGTACAACAATTTGAAAACATTGTCAACATTTCTACTTGTAGGAATCCGACATTATGGCAAGAGAGTGAATTGGGCTGAGCCTGATTGTATCAAGAGAATGATTAGGAGTGTCCCTTGTCATTAACTAAGGACAACTAACATGTGCGTATATATTGTCGGGTGTATTGCACATTTTTACATTAATGTATTTTTTTATTATTAGAATTATCGTCTCGTTTGTTTAAATGTCTAGTGCCTTAATATTATATAATGTGAAAACCACTGACAATGCTACTGTAAATCTGTTGGAAGGCTGAAGGGTTATTGAGCATAGTTTCATAACCCTTCGTTGTCTCTCTGTTTAGTCATTTTCTGCTGCTAAGAAAATTGTGTTGTTTTTACAATTTTAACAGATGATTAAACAACACCGGCTTAATTGTTTGTCCTCAATCTTGATTTGAAGCTTTCGTGACTGCAGGAATGCATACTCTTTGGTTCTTTCGGTAAAGTCACGTAGGTAGAAAAATAAAATAAAATATCACGACGTTTCGATCGCAACACAAGCGGTCGTCCTCAGGCGGAAAAAACAATCGGGCAGTGGAACTGCTGAGCCGGCGAGAGAGCTGTTACAACAAAGAGGTTATATATGTGGCGAAGGGCAAACAGGCGGGGTCTGAGCTGGAAAGAAATTCCATCCCCGGACGCAAGCATGTCAGTTGTGTTAATGGGGGAGATTAAAGACTGATTTTAAAGTCACACACGCACACACATGCTGGTCCAGGTGCAGTGCCGGATTATCGTAGTAGCACAAGTGTAGCTCCACATGTAGTAGCTACACATATAGTAGCTACACAAGTAGCTACTACACATGTAGTAGCTACTACACATGTAGTAGCTACGGGCCCCGAATTTTCAAGGGCCCCGCGCTAAATGCTTTCAAGCTATCAATTCCGGTTCAGTAATTCTGCACTTGCTCTATTACCATAGTACTATACCGCCTTCAACTTTTACGAACGACTGGGTGTTTAAGGTTAGCGATTTGTCGTATTATCTGGCTGTGTATCAATTACACAATCAATCAATCTTTATTGAACGTGCCAATATCGTCCTCGATAAAGTAAGCACCGGTGCACATTACAATGTAGCGGTGACGGGGGGGGGGGGGACATGAAGAAACAAGGAATGAATAAGGAATGAAAGGGGTAATCCATCACGCCCTCAGCGGCTAACATCGACTGAGCTGAGTAAGTTGCAACCGTGCGTAACGAATAACATTAAAAGGTAAAACGATAAATACATGCTTGGAATTGGGCGGCCAATTCCATTTCTGAAGTGATCACATACCTGTCAACCCCGTATTAGTGCCCTACCTTATTACAGACCAATTCAGACATTATTGGTCAACCCGTGCCCTTTACAAATCCCAACGTTTATCCTACAAAGTCCCATCACAAGGGAGAATCACAAATAGACAAATATTTTTGCCCGTATTGAAACGGCTGTACGCGGTATGGACCTGAAAACTCAATTACCCTGTACAAGAATACGGGTAACCCGTATGGGTTGACAGATGTAATCTTATCCCTACTGAAACTAAAATAAACACATTACCAAAATAATGTGAAATACAGTACAACAATTTGAAAACATATCGTCAACACGTGGCGAAACACGTGCCCCGAGATCGACAATCGCTGCTGCACATTGCCCACTGATGATTGTGCTTTTTTTATTTTCGCGCGGACTACGTTTCGTTCCAAGTGACATATTTTTTTTCATCCTCTTCAGTTTATGTTTCTTCGTTCGTCGCTTGTGGTTATTCCGACTCGGCCGCCGGTTTGCAGCGGCGGGCTTTTTAGTGCGCGTTGCCAGGACAAGTCGCGCTGTTGGCACCAAAATACAACCCCAACCCCATGCCTCCCCGCAGCTTGCTGCCAATAACCCCGCGCTATTCGTCACCAAGTGGCGCTGACGTCCCACGGCGCCTGTGCCAGGCTAGGTGCACTTTGAGGCCGCGTGGAATGTCGAAGGCTCGCTGCTGACAGGTCTCGGGGCAGACCCAGCAGGTGGAACGGGTTGGCTGACTGAGATGACCGGTAGATGTACCACCAGCTGTACCCTCTACTGTGCCAGGCTAGGTGCAGGTCTCGGGACAGACACAGCAGGCGCCACGGGGATGGCTGACTGATATGACCGGCAGATGCCCCACCACTAGCTGTACCCCCTACTGTGCCAGGCTAGGTGCAGGAGGTCTCGGGGCAGACCCAGCAGGTGCCACGGGGCTGGCTGACTGAGATGACTGGCAGATGCACCACCACCAGCTGTACCCCCTGAATGTGCCAAGCTAGGTGCAGGAGGTCTCGGGGCAGACCCAGCAGATGCCACCGGGCTGGCTGACTGAGATGACTGGCAGATGCACCACCACCAGCTGTACCCCCTACTGTGCCAGGCTAGGTGCAGGAGGTCTCGGGGCAGACACAGCAGGTGCCACCGGGCTGGCTGACTGAGATGACTGGCAGATGCACCACCACCAGCTGTACCCCCTGAATGTGCCAAGCTAGGTGCAGGAGGTCTCGGGGCAGACCCAGCAGATGCCACCGGGCTGGCTGACTGAGATGACTGGCAGATGCACCACCACCAGCTGTACCCCCTACTGTGCCAGGCTAGGTGCAGGAGGTCTTGGGGCAGACACAGCAGGTGCCACCGGGCTGGCTGACTGAGATGACTGGCAGATGCACCACCACCAGCTGTACCCCCTGAATGTGCCAAGCTAGGTGCAGGAGGTCTCGGGGCAGACCCAGCAGATGCCACCGGGCTGGCTGACTGAGATGACTGGCAGATGCACCACCACCAGCTGTACCCCCTACTGTGCCAGGCTAGGTGCAGGAGGTCTCGGGGCAGACCCAGCAGATGCCACCGGGCTGGCTGATTGAGATGACTGGCAGATGCACCACCACCAGCTGTACCCCCTGAATGTGCCAAGCACTGCGGAAGCCGCAAGCTGATTGGTGCGGCTCGCCGGCCAATCGCTCGCCACCTTAGTGGAGTCGCGGGGATGGAAGGGGCGGGGGGTAAGACCTCGTCAACCCCCCCGGAAGTGACGTGTAGAGGAACCACCTCGGCTCGACCAATGGGCTGCGAGGAGGGGTTCGTGAGTTTGAGCGCGAAAACGGCGGTTGGTGCTCGACTACTCCCGCGAGTTGCCACCAGCGACTTCACTGCGACCACCACCACCACACACCACCACACATCACCACACAATCATTACTACTTCCACTAACTACTACTACTGCTGTGCAAGAGACAGACACACCTCCCCCCCCCGTCTAGCCTGAAGAGACTTTCTCGGGGCAAGTGCTGTTGGCGAACACCCACGAAGGCCGTCACGGCACACGAGGGCGTGGGTGGGTGGGTGGTGAGCACCAACGCCCAGCCGCCTTTGTCTTCACCAGTGGCGATGTTTACACATCGCACCAGGTACTCATTTGAGGCCGAGTCGACCGAAGGGAAGCCCCTGGAGCGGTTCGGATAATCGTCACCGGTGTTGGCCGTGAGCGGGAATCGAACTCGGGTCGCCAGGTTCGTCGTGCAGCGCTCGTCACCGACTGCGACTGTACACATCGCATCACTGCCACTCATCACTACAATACTTACAATACACCTTATCAATACACCTCATCAATACAATACTTGCAATACACCTCATCAATACACCATCATCATTACTACGACTGTCTCTAGTGAAGGCCTATCAATATCTAAGACAATGCTAGAGCATGTTTATTTGCATGTTCACCACAAGCACTGTATGCGCTTAATGCAGACTTGATTCCTTGCTAAAAGGGTATCTTTTTGGCGTTTTAACAACTTAACCCCTGTTTTATTGCCAGAAAGGGTCAAACTTCTTATTTTGCATGCGATGTTATCGTCACTGTAGCCGGAGTTGATTTCACTTGTCTCAGCCGTGGTCCGAATATGGCGCGCTTTGATCACAACAAACTCATGCGGAGGCATCTCTAAAATCCCTGCCAGAACATCATGCACACACATTGCGTACTTATGGGAGACCTTGGGGTTGTGTACTATACAATAACATTTCAGGTTACAGTATATGGCATCCAAATACAACCGCACCTCACGTTGGGAAGAGTAATGTGTTTGTTTTTGTACAAGCAGGGTGTTTTGCAAGGACTGTACCAACAAGTCGGAAGGTGCTTCGGGAACAACGAACGAAATATCAGATGGCGGAGCTCGAGAAAGCGTTGGCTTATTTAAAAGGTGAGCCCTCGCCTAATCAAATCATTCCCTCCCCTTTGTGCCACTTTTCATGTCTACATTTGACTTTCGATTATCGGCTTTAATTACGGGGAAGATGGCTGCTGATAATCCAAAAATATCCATTTGCCGCCTATCTCAATGCCAAAACCCACTAGAATAGGTATAAATTACGTTTCAGGTAAAGTTTGCAGTAAATAATCGACCGATTGATGCGCATGCTCGGTGACAGCAGCAGAGCCATGCCAACCAACATTAAACTCCACCCACTGTTGTAAATATGTGCAACTACTGTACTGTAGAGGCGATCACGTGCGTTTTGGATTAACCGGAGCAACACATTTGTTCGGATTAAGCACATTACTTGTAATAAACATTTCCAAGAATAGCAATGTATCACGGTTTTTATATTTTTTTGGGCTGAAGGGAAAATCCACTAGTTATTAATAATGGCAAATTCTCCGATGCGCGGTTAATCCACAAATCGGATAAACCGCACGTGAATAATCGAGAGTCTACTGTATAATGCTCTTTAAATCGCGGATGTGGGGGTTCATTGGTGGAATCTTAGCGATGGTTCATCTTTAAGTAGCAATAATAATTTTTTCAGTAGATTTACTCATTTGTGGAGTTTGTCTAAGTTTAATACAACATTTAAGCAGCCTGGTTGGATATTTGTGTTGTGGGTGTTGCTCTTTTGACAGTGGAGTATATGCCACTATATGTATTATTTTCACTGTGCTGAGGAGCTGTGGAAATACTCAATATTATGCAGACTTCCTTAGTGGCCAGACTTCTGACTTGGTTTAGTCGATAGGGGTCTATCTATTCACCCTATTCTGAGTCACATTGTTGGGCGATGATTCGATTTATGTACCTGCATGTACTGGATGGGTTCACGTGAATCGATTTATATTTAACATATAGTAATCAAACATTGATGTGCAAGTCGACCGTTGTATCGTAAGCTTAATCATTTATGTTAATCCATACATTAATGCATTGATACAGCCCGAATAGCCACTCGGTATTACTAACGGAAAGCCGCGGAGAATAAACTGAGAAGGGAAGGGAGGGTTGTGACTGCCACAGCTTGACAATGCGCTGCCCTTGTCCAGAACCTGAAGATAAGAACCGGATGCTGCTAAATTTCCATCTCGCCATTGTGGAAGCTGCAGCAAGACGGCATGGCCTGGAGCCTCACGATCTGCAGGAGCTGCTCATCACAGCCCTTTCTTCAAAATACAGTGAGTGGTGGCACCCACAGAAGGCCGTCTACTACATTTTATTCGTCGCACAGGGCTTCTCAGTCTGCATATGCACCATGTGACATGTTTTCACGTGTCCCACCATTTCTCGTTTGTGCATGGAAACACTGGAATTTTTGGCCTTGTCTTTTCTTGCTTAATTCTACCTGCTTATGAGTGTTTAGCCACTGAGCACCCATATTTTGGTGCCTCACGCTGAATTAAAGCCATGAGCTGGCGAAAGTGTGGTGCTCAATGTCGGGAGGTAAATGGTGCTTATGTTTAAAAGTGGATTCGAGCTGATCCCCAAGAGTTTTTCCCAATCCATTTCAATATTAATAGCATTTCTAGTCCAAAGTCACGAAAAGATTCACATAACTGATGTTTCCTAAATCGGCTGTGCACTTGATGCTCTAAAAATGGATGTTTTTGCTGTATAACGCTTGGTCCCGTTTACAATGGCCCAATGGTTTACGACGGTCCGATTTATGACGATCCACATTTTCGACATGTATATATGCCACCACTGATCAATTTACAACTGCAGCAACTTGATTTGCGTTGCATCTTCCAACATGACTTGTGTGACTTGACTGTTATTTGTGGATTTTTACCTTTTAAACCCTGCTAAATATGGCTGATAAAATAAAAAAAAATATCGGAAAGTGATGTTTCTACTCTTTCTACTGTCTGGAAAAATCGCGTCCGATTTACGACAATCCAATTTACATCATGGGACCTCCTTTACCAGTACCAAAATATACTAATAGGGTTTTTCCCCTTTTTTTTGTATTGGCAAAGGAGGTCCCATGATGTAGCTGCTCACCCCGAGCTCTCATTATTCTGATAGTGGGTTGTCTTTGAACTGTGCGCCTTTTGGCGTCATCTGGTCGAACACCATATGAGACTAGGCTCTAAAGAAATGTGTCTCTGGTGTGGACCAATCAGTTTCAAGGACAATGCATAAATTATCAGAGTTTTGTTTTTTGTTTGCATTTAACCAAGTATTGTGGTTAATGTAAGCATGATTCCTTGCAAAAGGTATCAGTTTTGTTGCCAGAAAAAAGGGGGAAAACCCTATTAATAAATCCAATTTACGTCGGGGTTTTCAGGAACGTGTTGTCATAAGAGCGGGTACCCCCTGTCTTAGACCTTTAACTCTGCCTGTAATATATGCATCCTCTTTTCTTTTTACTGTGTTCTGAAACCTGTTTTATTGTGATTACACAGAGGGAGAGAGCGAATTGTCATTTAAAACGTTATCCAGCAAAGGCAACGACATCTCTTCTCAATTCTTGATTGTACTGCTCAGCATTGCCGCCTTCGATTGTTACAGTAATGTGTCTCAGCAAACAATTGGATGGCCGTTAAAGTGCGTTGAATGTGATTCATTTATATGTACCGTTTGTGTTTTTTAGGTCTTCTAGTGAAATCTAAGATGGTGAAATGTCTTATCCCGTCATCCGTGGTTTTGGGCAGCACTCCAGCCATTATCATCTCATGGATGTGCACATTAAGCTCCACAAACCACGTGCAGGTGTGTTCTCTAATAAAGTACTCTCTCTGAGTTCTCAACTACTTTTCAGAGAGTGACAACCATAAAATAAAGCTGAATATTATTGGTATAATTTTCCTAACAGCACAGTTAACGCAGCAATATCCTAATTGACTGTTTATTTCTACTTGAGCAACGACGCGTGTTATTAATATAGAAAGTTGCATATATTATTTTTATAGAACTTTGCATCTTTTCTCTACATTTCAAAAGAAGAGTGGATGTCTAATGTTGAGAATTCAATTGCTTTAAATTCACACAATTAGGTACAATTAAAATACTGAATTTATCACCGCGAGAATTTGCACCAAATTTGTGAAGTGCCAACACCTGGAAGGCGTATGCACATTAAAAATGTAAGTAGAAATTGCGTGGCTTAGTTCGTGCCTCATATGCTAGTTAGGTTGAGAAGTCACGGGGTCACTGCTTTGTGTTCCGCACATTCCAAAGACGTGGAAAAGCACTTTTGGGCGCAAGGGCCGGGCAGTAGGGACACTTTTTTGAGCGAAGAAAGCGTGTCACTCAAAAAAGGTGGAAACAGCTTTGTATCTCAGATTTGAATTGTTTTCACTCCATAAATTTAATGATATCATACATTGCAAATGAGGTAGTTTTTTATTTATTATCTTAGTCATTGCTAGCATAGGTTTTTATATTGACGATTTACGTATTTTTTCATGTGGTTTTTATTTTTTCCACATAACTTGTATTTGAGTAAACTACTGTTTAAAAAAAATCGTCTAGTAAGTTAAACTGTGTATTAGGGTGGTGTTCACGTTCAACTTTGGTGTAGAGAGTGTGCTGGAGGGTGCGTGTAACTGCGTGTGTGTGGGGAGCGGTAGTGGAGTGGTGAGCACGCTTCGCTACGAACCCCGGCGACCAAGTTCGATTTTCGCTCACAGCCAACACCTGTGACGATTATCTGAACCGGCACTGGGCCTCCCTTAGGTCTACTCGGCCTCAAATGAGTACCTGGTGCGTTGTGTAAACATCGCCACTAGTTAAAGGCAGCCGGGCAAGATGAGTCGTGCCGGCCTTCATAGGTGCTCGCTAACAGCACTTTCTCCAACAGTCTGTTAAGGCTATACGGGGGATCTTTGTATTTGTGCCCTTTTCTAGGCATGGCTACTGCGGTGGCTGGTCATGGTGTTTGACCTGATTGAGGAGAAGGAGACACTGCACCTCCTTTATGGGATGATATTCAACTTCGTGCGATACGAGAAGCTGGTGAGGAAGCCAAGCGCAGAGCATCTTTTTTTCATCTGTAGGCTTTCATGACCAGTATTAACATTCATCATTGGTTTATTTTGGGTTAGCGAGCATTTCCATTGTAGTAAGACATTTAATCTGTCCTTTAAGGTCAATATTTTGATCTCTCTTCACATCAAGTGTGAATTTAATAATTCTGTATCCATAATAGAGGGTTTTTGGTTAGAATGCTGAAATATATATGTTTCGTTTTCTAAAAATGTTACAGATCATGTGCTATTTTCCGAAATAGGATTTCTCCAGAACTCTGGCTGTCACCTGATGATGCTGGTTGTAATTACCGTTGAAACGTCGTACTCGAATTGTAAATGTTGCGGGTTTACTCTCCAACACACCGCTGTGCTGTACCCGTAACGATTTGGCATGTTTTGTTTACGTGACAACCCTTACTAATTGGCAGTGTTGGGAGGTGGCGTGTTTAATGATACATTTATATTTACACGATCTAACACAAAAACCTCTATTATGAATAATGTTGGTCGTGAAAGCCTGCTTCTGTTAAAGTGATTTTTAATCATTAATTGCTCTGCTTTTTGTGCTTTCAGAGCTCCTATGCATGTCACCTACTGTACCTGCTGACACGCAGAGAAGATGGTGAGTGAGCTTAAAGGGAGGTTTTGACCCAAAACAAACAGCTCTTATTTCACAAATTCGTAGGAGCCAGTCCTGTCCGACACATTTTAAGTGTCATTAATAAAGAAAATTAAGTGGCTGTCACCTTCAGGAGCACCACTCAACTGATGTAACTACCTGTCAAATGTTAAAATCGCACTGTGGGACATCCCGAGAACTCTAGCGACCCCCAGATACCATTTGTCTTTTTCTCACTAAGTTTCAAGTTTCTATCAGACAGCTGAGAACTCATGTATCTGCATGATAAGAGGAATTCGATTTTTTATTGTGTGTTCCTTTAAACTGCCAACTAATTACTAAGTGGTCATTCTGATAAACACTACACCAGTCGCTGCTGAAAGCTGTGCCATTAATTTGATGTTCCATTTGTTCCCATGTGCTTTTTAGTGAAACTCTTTCGTGTTCAGTTGCTTCTGTCCATCCACACAAAAATGGTAAGCACTGCTGAGCACCCAAACCTAAGAGTTACAACAATTCAACCTAGTAGAGGTCACATTAACATTACATGTCATTTAATTATGGTCATTAAAGAGTGTATACCCATGGGTCAGCCTTTTAGCACAGGGCCACAGGTTTAATTCCCATTAAAGTTGCATAATGGCTTCTATTTTAAAAAATAACTAAAGAGCCATCTGCTGTGAAATGAATGTTAAACTGTGATATAATCTCTGAGGTTCATGAAATTAGTAATTTGCAGCAAATCAACAGCAGTCATTGAAAGACACCCTCAACCAGTGGAGATGGACATGGCCCCAATGCTTGTTTTGAGCAGGAAGACAATTTAGCGGTTTAAAAAAAAAGCTTCATCCAATTTTTCTCGAACATTTGTGCTCTTGTTGTCTTCCAGGGCTTGAAGGACTCTCCAGCCCCTCACTTCCTGGGCCTCTTGTCTTTATTCAAGGCCTACTGTCCCACGCTCATGTCCCTCTCACTGCCAACTCGCAGCAGGGTATGTCAACGCACACACGAGACCAGATGGCATCAACCCCCAGCCATACCTTATGCTGTTCGACTATAGTATGTGTCAGAGGCAAATGTGCTGTGCATCAGAACTACATTTATCTATGCCAGACAGATGAGTGGGTTTAGCAGTCTGATCCAAGTCACATGGCATTGCCAGTGTGATTCTTACACCGCATGTGTAATGTCTACTTGCGGGAATGTTACAATTTGTAATGACCGAGGCAACAGACCACTTACCTGACAGGGTGTACATGCAAACGAACAGTCAGGAAGTCCATTAAGTCAATCAAGGCCTCTGATTGGTGCAAGGAGGCCTCAAAGACGATTGGTTAGGATAAGATATTTAAAGGGATTTGAGGAGAAATTCAAACGTGAAAGGTGGGAACGAGGGTTGCCTGTAGGTGAGACGGTTGGCAACCATTGGAGAAGGAGGATGGGGATTGGCTGAGGGAAATGGGGTGACGGAAGCTTCCAAAAAGGGGGCTCGGGGAATATAAAAGGGGATAGCGCAGCGGGAGGGGACGCTTGGAGAGAAGATGAAGTTTGTGCCTCAAAAACCGAAGTCCGGGCCGAGGAATATTGTTGTGTACGTTGTTTTAACCCACCCCTACTGGACATATGTGAAAATAACAAGCTTTCTATCTCAACGGATTCTTCCAGTATAAATACATATTCTGATTCTGAAGCAACACGTTTTCATAAAATCACCTGCAATCGCCTCGTAAAGAAACACGCACCTCTTACTTAGCATTGTGATATATTTACTGCTGGCTCAGGAATTCCAATAGACATAAGCACCATACAATGCTTTGACGCTGTTATTTGACTTTGTTCTCTCTGTTCTATTTATTGCCAGCAATATTTCCGTAGTGAAGACAAAAACTGGATCTCAAGCCTTAAGCTGGTGCAGAACAAAAACAAAACGACAGCCGCACACAGTGACTTCTCGACGGCTGGGCTGTACTGCAGTCCGCCCGCTCAGAAGGTGACCTTTGGTTGCTTTGATGCCACATTGCACTCTGCGACTGCCCAAGCTTCTTGCTTTTTCTTGGAACTGTTTTAAGAGTCCAGGCTTCTGCTGACTTCTGTGGTTTAACACGTTTGATTAGCAATGCTCTGTTTTTGTTTGCAATATTTGGTGAATAGGTTGAGATGATTACCTGGCCTCATTTGATCAAGGAGCTAATCCTGGTTGATGAACCCATTATCCCATTGCCGTGTTGTAGATACCAATGCCCTGCTCGTGTTTACTCTCCTATATGTATGTATGTTCAACTTCTTTAGTATGTAGCCAACTGCTAGTCGGAGGTGTGTAATCGTGCCTGCTCTCCTTTGTCATTTCTGAGGAGGGAAAGTGGCATGAGCGGCATATACCTTGATTTGTTGACCCTATGCTTTGCAGGCTGTGGGGAGGAAGCGTACTCGCACCGGAGTCATCCCTAATTTGGCCAGCTCAGAGCTCACCAGCACCAACAGATACCAGATGGATGACGGCACAAGTACAGATAACGCCCCAACATCATGTCTGCTCATCAGGACCCTGCCGGACCTTCTCAACAACATTCACAATCTGGAGGTCAGCACCTATAGAAAACGACTATATATATTTTTTTCTCCCATTGTATTACAACGTTGAGAAAATAAAGTGGGCTTGGGTTGGGCTGATGGTCAAAAATAATGACGAATTGGCAGCCAAGGGGTGGAACGCTTCTGAGCTAACATCCACCAAAGAGATGACGCAATGAAATTGCTTTGTGTGATGGTGCTAGGTAGATTCTTACATTACAGGATCATGAGAGATGGTGGCAGCGAGATGATGCTGTGGGTTGATCAAGGTTTATTATGATCCTCTAATACAAATCTGGTATTGGAACTCCCTTAAACTGCAAAGTCACATGTTTGAAATTATGCAGAAGTTAAAATCCCGACATTTTCACTTCAGCATTAATTAAAGTATGTCAGGGCTTAACCTGATATCCTCACAGGTTATATTTACCACATTTTTGACTCGATTAGGATGTTTTCATTTTTGAGTTATTTATTCTGCACAATATAGGCTAAGTTACAATTAAAAAAATATATATATTATTTTTTGTGAAATCTTAGGTGATCGGTTGAGGAGCATTTGCCAAACTTTATTACTTTGCCCATTCACTGGTGGTTGTCTATATGAAGAGACTTGCTCCTGCCCAAAAGAATCTGGAATTTCCACCACTGACGAAGGGTCTCAATTGCAGAAAGCACGACCTCAGGAAAATCCTAATCAAGTCACTTTTGACTGACTTGAAATTTCCATAATATACATAAACATGTCTTTTCCCCCTTTGTCAATGCACTGCCGATTTAAGGATCTTAAAGCTGTCTTGCTCATCTGCTTTGTTTGGCCTTACCTCACCACGCAGGTCCGTGTGGCTTAGTGAATAGGGAGGGGCATGTCTGATTCAGCCTTCTCTCGCCACCGGTGCTAACTTTGACCGTGAAACAAACTCAGGTCGACAGGTTCATAAAACAGTGTGATAACCACTGTGCCACCGCTTCTCGTTGGTAAAACGTATGTGTATCCTTGCAACGGAGGAGATGTATGTTATAATTACGAACTCTTGCTAGTGACTTGTGGAGGAATTTTATCTTCTGTTGATGATCGTGTGACGGCTCGTCTCTCGTTCCACAGTTTCCAGCACAAATGGCCTCTGTGCTGTCGTCCCCCATTCTCATCTCCTTCCTGAGCTGTGCCATGGACCCCGTATCCCAGAACCGCATCGACTTCTGGCTCTCAAACACCCTGGAGGAAGGTATGGCTCCTGCGAGTAGCACTGCGCGACTGGGCGTGTGCCTTCAACTCATCTCCACCACGAAAGCACAACCGCTTAAGCGAAGAAGGACGCTTGTGTTGCGCCTGAAACGTGATTTAATTTAGTTGTTTTCATTTATTTTATTTTTTTACCTACGTGACTTTACCGAAAAAAAAGAGTGAATTCTTGCAGTCACGAAAGCCTCAAATCTACATGTAATCTTTGTTTGCCAAATCATGTCTCGGAGTAATTCGAGATAGTTTATTTTTTCTTTGATGTTTTGCTGAAATAACCGAATGGAAGTGATTGTTGGGCATTGTGAGATTCAATCCCAGTCATATTGATGCCCCTGAAATTAATTTTTTTACACGTTTCAAAGGATTCACGATTAAATTATTGTGTACTCATGGCAGAGTTTCTTTACTGCGAGGAGGAGGACACAGAGGACACCCTGCAGCGCAAGGCAGCATTCCTGAACTGCATAGTTCACACGCAGGAGATGCTTAAGGTACACGTCTCGCAGGCCTCTCCAGTCCCTCACCATGTCCCTGCTACAGCGCCTAACTGTTCTTGGGCTAAAGGAGAATCGCACTCCATACACAGTAATGGTGGCAAAGACTTACACCGAGGTAAACATCCCCATGTAGAAAGCACAGAGATGAGTGGAACGGCCTTGGAAACGTAAAAGGTTGGGGTATAAATATCAAAATTCGAAGGATCTCCCCCCCCCCTTTCTTTGGGGAGACCATTTGAGTTCCTGAAGAAGCTGTCGGCACGTGGAGTGAAACATCCGACATCAAGCTGAACAACGCGCGGTACAGCCCGAAACACACACCTGAGAAATATACAACAGCACAGCCGCGAAAACGTATGCAGGATGTCACTTTTATCTCTCGAAATATCTTGCACAGTCTGAGAAACCCACTTGCTGTCTATAGGGAAATTTCAGTCTGTGAAAAACCCACTTGCTCTCAGCTTCCTGCAGACATTAGTTTTCCCAGCAGCCTGATGCAAATGAAGGCTCCAATGGCGGAGCCAGGATTCTTAGGTAGGGGGAGCAACCCCTCCAGCAATGAAAAATGATAGGAGTTGTTAGTAAGTAAGGACTTGTCCCTTGCTTTTTATTATTCGACGCGTGTGCGGCGATAGCACCGCCATCGATCGAGGGTCGAATTCGAACCGTGTGTGATTGGCATCGCGCTCGCTGAAGGTATGCCTTCAGGGAACTCGTGTACTGTATACGCAACTGCGCACAATTCTGTGAGTCACTTATAACTGCTTTGCCGTTACTTTTTGCCAATTGTGGACTCAGACTATCGTCCTATCATCTCAGAGTCCCTGGCACGTAATAATATGCTACACAGTGGCAGTGGGGGTCGCAAAATTCCAATTTATTACTAACTAGCTTTACTACCCGGCTTCGCCCGAGACTTGGATTCTTGTCTTGGATTAATACACGGCCTACACGGAGGGTTGGGGGGGGGGATGCGTGACGTCAGCAGGCACACTGCGTGACGCTGCCGCATGCGGGTGACATCACAGATGTAACGTCACCGCTCACTTGCCGTGCATAATATATCAATTATTGCCCCCCCCCCCCAAAATACAAAAGTCTCTTTTTATACTTTTTGCATTGTGTACAGTCCGGAAGCTACCCACATGGCAAATTTCAAGTTTGTTGCATATTGGGAAGTATGCTAAAGTTTCACAAATTTCCATTTTATATATATATAGATAAACCCCAATGATCCGATCAAAATTAGGGATTTCGATCGGATCATTGGAGGGGCACGTGCCACCCCCCCCCCACCAGTGGAAGGCTCCATCTTGTTGTGACCCATTAACTCCTCTTACATGTTGCTGGATTCCAGAGTCTTTACGAAATCCTGCCCGTCAGGTGGAGTAGCCAATGCATAAAACATATTAAGGCTATACAGGGCTGCCCCAATGTGTATCACATATACTACTAAAATAAGGGATATATTGGGTATCATTCTGCAATATTATGTATTTATTATATCGTATTTTTATTATAGATTTGGAAAATATTGATACAGTAAAACCTTGAATTTCGAGCATAATTCGTTCCGGAAACGTGTTTGTAATCCAAAGCACTCGTATATCAAAGCGAATTTCCCCATAAGAAATAATGGAAACTCAGATGATTTGTTCCACAACCCAAAAATATTAATGTAAAAATTATTAATACAAAATACCTGTTTATATTTTTATTATTTAATATAAAGTAATACAATTAATTAAATTTTACTCCTTACGGTCCAGCCTCCATGTTTACCATCTATCAGATGCCAGTAACATCTGGCCACTTTGCTTTTGAATGGAAGAGATTGATAAACTTTGGATATGAGTAATAGAGTTAACAAAACACGGACTTATAATATGAAGCTCTTTTTTTTACATACTGGGATTCAAAAAACTTGCAGCTCTGATGCGCTAAGATGCCCTTGCATGTTAAGCATTTCTTTTTTGTGCATTGTATTTAAGGTAAGTCTGCTTGGCTTACCTTATTTGTCAAGTAAGTTCGTACCAAGTGAGTTATTATTGTAATTGTGATATGTTTTGTGACTTCTGCAAATGCAGTTTCTTGTGCCTCAAGATGATTAGATTATGTATTTGCCTACTTCTGGATTAATCTGAAACATCCACTGCTGTGTGTGTCAGAATCTTTATTTAGACTTCGTATGTACAGGGCCATATCTGCTCTCACAAGTGCTGTCTTCCTGCGCAGGAGGGTTTCTCGAGTGTCTCCTACTTCCTGACATCGTGGCTGTCGGTCTGGGACGGTGAGACTTTACAGCCACAGACGTTAAAGCTTCTCACCCGTCTGAACCTGCAGGACAGCAGTGGTACGGTAACAACAATACAATTTGTAAAGCACACAATTGTTCACAGGCAAATTACTAACTGAGGTGCGGAGCCAAACTCGGTGTCACTCGAAAGCTAAGCGGAAGAGTTGGGCCATTTAGATAGGTGGGCCTGTAAGAGTCTCTTAAAAGTAATGAGGATGGCTGCGGATAATTCAAAATCCCGGATATCCAAGAAATATCTGTTTTCCACGGATCTCTGCCAAAAACCACTAATCGGTTTAATTATGTTTAAGTTAAGAAAATAGAGTTTGTTCATGAACAAAAAAAAATTTGTAGTCAAGAATGTATTGTGCTCAGTGATGGCACTTTCCTGCTCCCATGCAGAAGGCTCGGCTCACTAAGTGGATAGCAGCCACGCCAATCAACATCAATCAAACTCTGCCCACTGTTGTAAAGATATGCAACAACTGTACTGTAGAGACGATCACGTGGATTTTGGATTAACCGGAGCACATATTTGTTTGGTTTAAGCACGTGACATGTAATACACATTTACAAGAATAACAATGTATAATTGTTTTTAGATGATTAATTTGGGCCTAGGGGGAAATCTATTAGTTATTAATTTATATCAACCTAGTCCGCACATCTTGTAAACCACACGCGAATAATCGAGAGTCTACTGTAGGTGTTGATTGAATGTTGCTGCAAATGTGTAGCAGGATGGCATTCCAGATTGCAGAGGCTGCCACGGAGAAATGAGATCCGGCAGTGACAGAGTCCTTGTCCTTCCTATAAGTCACCTGTGCTCGTACTTTAGCTATGTAACTAAGCCTTCAACTAACCACGTGTTCAGGAATTGAAAAAGCTCCCCAGAGCGTGAAGCAAAATGTCACAAATGCTGAACAACATGCTGTACAACCCGAAAACACATCGTAGAGCTGTACAGCACAGCTGCGAAAACCTACGCGGTATTATCCCTTAAACTGCATCCTGAGTAATAATTATCAGGCTTAGGGGAGAGTACTAGTGCTATGATGAATTGTAAAAAAACACTTCTTCAATTAGTAAGTAATCCGCAAGTTTTTAATTTTGCTGAAATTCTTGGAATGTTCAGGTTTAGTCGGTCAAAGTGTCTTCCAAACAAGCATTCTGGTGCTGCCAGCTCTTTGGTTTGCCCTGAGCCAGTGGCGCAATTTGTACATTTACAAGCTAGAGGCCATTTTCTCCATGGAATGAAAAAATGGTTAAGTCTTTACAAAGTCGTACTAATGTTATTGTGCATAGAATTGATAGATCCATTTGACCCCTAGACATAATACAAATTTGCAACTTTGTAGTTTTAAGTCGAGCACTTTGACCACAGCGCCACCCAAATGGACAGGGTGACTCAGGTTAAATTGGATTTTGTTAGATACTACAACCAATGGAATTATTAAACTAATAATCTATTGATTCATTAACAAGATGGGTAACTGTTTCATGTAGAAAATTAAATTATATGCTTGGCATTGACACTTTTTATACACAACTTCAAAGCTAATGGAGTTGGCAGAGCTGGGTGGACTTTTGTTTTTATAATAGACTGGTTCAAACTGAATCCCAAGGAAAAATCTGGAGATGCTTCTCCCATTAGAAATATGAATGAAAATGTCTGTTGATCATATAAGGACATTGAAAGTTTTACCGGTGTATGTAACCCTAACTCATCGCAGTAATTTGTCAGGAAAGCGTTCAATGGGGCGGAGCACTCTGCCATCAGTGGGGTGTTAGGATGCTGCAAGCCTTGCCAGTAGTGGGGCATGTGACGCACCCACTCAGTTAATGAGTACGGGTGCCAGTGCCTTGCACCCCTAAACTTGAGAGTTCACAGGAAGGTATGGCGCCTCCGATTGCCAGCTCCTCAGATCGTTAGCTCTGTCATGATGCGCCTGGGCTAACGGGTCGTTTAATAGAAGTGTTCTGGGGCCCTCTGCCCCTTGAAAGTATCCCAGGTGTGTCGCAGTACACTGAAGTTTGGTGGCTTGGGGTTGGTGAACCATACATAGATGTGTGTATGTTTGTTCAACTTTTTTCGCACCGTACGTAGCCAACTGTACTAATCGGAGGTGCAATAGATGGAGCCAATGTATGTGTGTGCGAATGCCTCTGCTGCGAATGAAGAGGCATACAACGGGGAGTATGACATGTTTTCTTGCCTGTCTGTGTGAGGCAGCATTGTTGTGTTTCATGTACAATTGTTTCTGCATCTGAGTGATTTTTTTTTGCACATGACCACATGTTTGTTTTTATTGTGCACTTAGAGCTGTTAGAGTGTTTCCTGAAGCCTCTGTCCCTGACGTTCATCTCTTCATGTGTCTATTTCAAGGTAGGTTTATAGCCATTGCTGTATTACACTGTCGGCCACACATGTACACGTGTGTGTATAGCTTAGTCCAGCATATTATTAGTCTCACCACAGTAAAAAAAAAATTAAGAAAACGACATTAGGAATCTTGACACGTTATTCAGCAAGCAGGACCCTCACGGAAATTATTAACATGTATCTAAAACATTCCCAGATAAATAAAATACATTAGAGTTATTTCTACTCAAATCCTGTATAATATGGCTTCGTAGACTATTTATGAACAGAAATTTCACATAAAATGTGCTCGGCACCGAAGTCCCATTTATTTGGAAAATCAAATTGGCTGCCAAGTACAATGTTAATAATCTACTAATCTTTCCATTGATGTTATTCTGCTGCAAGAATGAGTGGAGAGTGCTGCCTGGCAGCTACTTTAATAAGTTCCATCAACACACGGTTGGCTATAAATCACAACATCAGCCAAGTTCTGGGAAACATGTTTTATTTAAGCTCCTGATGTCTTGGGGAAAAAAGCATGAATGTTCAAAGCAAATACCCATTACAATATTTATTCACAAAACTCTGTGGCGAGTGTTATTTAATAATACAATTCTCTGCCATAATTTACAACCTATTCATTCTTACATTTCTGAGTTGAGGTTATGGAAATTAGAACTCCAGTAAGGGTTGTCAGAGTTTCTCGGTTTTTGTTTTCATTGACCATGGTTACTTATTTTCCTCAGTGGGTAAATGTTTGCATTCAAATTGCTGCCAGAGACAGGTTTTCAGATTGGAGTGTAGATTTCTTGGGAGTGGGGCAAGCCAGAGGATGTCATTAAACACGCAGGCTTTCGTGACCAATATTATCCATAATCGAGGGTTTTGGGTTAGATCGCGTAAATATAAATGTATCGTTAAAGCCGTCACCACCCGACACAGCCAATTAGTAAGCACACTGGTGTGTTGGAGAGTAAATGCACAACATTTACAATTCGAGTACTGTGACGCTTAGTCAGTAATTACAACCAGCATCGTCATGCGACAGCCAGAGTTGTGGAGAAGTTTCGGAGGATACCACTTGATCTGTAACATTTTTAGAAAGCCTTTGACGCAAAACTAATTTAGCCGTTAATTACCATAAAAATAACAATATATTCGTAAGAAGTTTATTAATTTAAACGCATAATCGGGTAGAGGATACTTGTGTTTTGCTGTGGCTAAGACCAACTTATAAGTGGTGGCAAACAAACGCGATTTCTTTACACACAGAGTTTGTAAATAGCTCGAGTTGGCTCTTGCTGGGTGTGCGGTTCACTGCTGACCAGTGAGTGAGGCACTGGGCGAGTGATGAGTTGCCACCGTTTCCCTGCAGTGCGCCATCATAGAGAGCCTTCACCGGCTGCTCATCAACCTGCTGATGGTCAAGCAGACGCAAGCGGAGACGGAGGTCAACGCTGTTGGCCCGACAGAGCAGCCTACCTTGTGAGCCTTATTTGCAGTTTACCACACTTACAGAAACTTAATTTTTGTTGAGAACTTTTTTGTAGCAAAATGGGTGACAACAGTAATTATCTCAAACACAGATGAGAACTTCAGCGTATCTGCTTTTCATGTATACTGCATACCAGTGTGGTACATATGTAAGGGATGAGATAAATGCTGTGCTTAATTGAGAGAAAAGTACTGCTATGCAGTCTCAAAGAATTGTGGTTTATATAGCCAGCTCTCCCAGGTCAGGTCACACCTTGTAAAAAACAAACTTGCCATTTTACAAGGGTTTTTTTCAGTTTAGATTTTCACGTATTGCTTATCTTTACATGACTACTTTTGTTTTTGAGTCATATGTGGAATGAATAGACATCTCTATTCGGCCAATAAGATTATGCCCTAGTTCTCATAATTTCAGATCATAGACCCTTGATGGCACATGTTTGTGCACTTTTGTAGAGGGCATTTAGAGGGATGTGTGGCAATAAATCATGCATTCTTGCATCACTCTCCAGGGCCAATGGTGAATTTAACACCAGGCATGCCATCCACCAGCTGGTGAATTTCATCAATGAACTGGCCACAGCTGCCCTCCAGCAGGAGATGTACAACTGCCTGCTCATGCACTGCATTCTCGACTTCTACCAGACGGTATGTCAATGTGTCAAGAGCTTAATTTTGAGCCAAGTGGGGTCCCACTGAGACAACAAGTCTCGTTCCATGAAAATACGTGGCGAGTTGCTGATGTACCTTGGGCGTAACACTTAGTTTGTAATTTAAAGCAGTGTAAATTGAGGGTAAATTCACCTTTGGTGTATTATGTAACTGACCACTGGGAGAGTATTTTTGCTGATAAAGAATGGAAAGCCGTCTGTAGCATACAGTATTTGAATGTCCACTTGACAAGTTTTGTGAATTAAACTTGCCCATTCTTCTGAGCAACCCTATTCTTAAGCCATTGCTAAGGACAAGGGTGTTAAACCCAGTGCTCACTGGGTAAGCCAATATAATGGGCAAGAGACATCCACAAACAATGCTGGGCCAAAAATTATGTGCTGGCTGTACTGTAAACGAACCAGCACTTCTAGGATGCCATTGATCCCTTAAGGTGTGCTGTTAAATGGATGAAATGTTATTTTAAATGCCATTATTTCTATTTCCCACAATATATATTCTTTTAAGTCATAGTGTTCCAACCTTTGCGTAGCACACTGGCAGAATACTCACATTCAGAAGTTGCTCCAAGAAATGTCACTTTGTGGATGAAAGTACTGGCCTCTGAGCAATGTGGAATTTTCACTGCTGGGAATGGGGTCATGAATGGACATGAATATTGCCGTGTCCTCATTTGGCGCTTTACTTGACGTGCATAACGATGGTAATGTTGTTATTGGCGGTAATTGGACCACGAGCCCATTTTAGTGTCGGAGTGTAGTACAGCATAGCACTTATACCCTGCGTACTGGGCTTGTGTTGTCACTAGTGGTCAAAGGTACAGTAAATTACAGGTTAATTGCAAATAATTTACGTTTTTATTGTCACTGAAGAGAATATCTCGACGTTGCAGTCAACTGTTGGCTGAAATATTTTCTCATTGTCGTAGAAACAGCGACTTTATAACCTTATGGTAGAAGTTATCCCTCCACCCATAATGCGACCAATATCAGGCAGTGTTTATGTTGGGTGTCGCGGTGTGTCCGTGGCCTTGCGAGTCACGGCGTGTTGTTGCACGCCGTGTCGCAGCGTCGCGGCGTGGATGTTTTGCGTTGTGATATCTTGGTTTGTGACCCTTGAAGGTGGTGAAGGTTTACAGCATCGGCAATCTGCCCATGGTGCTGGTAGCGCCTCGGGCCGTGGTTTACTCTGCCTTCCTGAGCGCGGACCATTCCACTCTGGATCGCCTTTGCCATCTCCTCTGCAGGTATGTAACAACTCGGAGTCCCCTCTGGGAATTACATTACAGTTCACATCAACATGTGCTCGGGAGCCTTAATGCTGTGCCATTCGGAGCTCTGAGCCAGCAACTCTAAGGTGCTGGGTTCATAATCAGGCATCTGAATGAGAATAATCCATTTCGATTTAAAGCTTTCGTGACTGCAGAACCAAGAAGAGATTAATCCAGTTGTCATTGGTGAAGTGGGTTTAGGATTTCAGCTCAGTTGCCAATGACTTAATTTGGTATGTCTTGTTCAAATGCTTGTATATCAGATAGAGATTGTGGTAAGATAGGTATCTGAAGGCAAATGCCCCTGATATTGTTTCTAAGTAATTTTACAATTTGAATTACATACATTTGTGTGTAGAGAATTCTAGAAAAGAAACATTGCTCTGAATTTTATTGCAGACTTCTAACATGTCTATGAATAATGTAAAGAACTTGTCCATGCAAAACTTGTTGGTAAATTTACATTAATTGCTGATATTTAAAAGCATACATCTTTGGGGTCAAGAGAATACTTTTAATGCAAGGGAAACCAGGAGTACAGAGAATAAATACAATAAACCGCAAAACAAGAAGAAAATGTCCTGATATGAACTGAAAGTGAAAACTAAAACGAAGGTTTAATACAGTACCATAATAAACTTGGCTTGGTTGTTTTTGACAGTTATCGGGAAGTCATCACAGAGCTCAAGACAGTAAAGTCATTGACGGTAATTATGTCCGTGTTATTTTTGTTTCATCCTGGGAATAATTATGAACCAATTGATGGTACCACTTTCCCCACGAATACAGTTATATAGCCACGTGCTTGAAATTAAACACGGGCAAAATACTCATTGCCTTATACCTCGTCCACCACGTACACTTACGCCGACATCCTGACTCTTGCATCTGTTGCCACGGACTAAAGGGGCGAGGGGGTGTTTGGTGCTGCACGGGTGCCATTGTTGTTTGCCCCCTCTTACGCCCCCCCCTCTCCTACACAGAGGCAGGACTTCATCTGGAAAAAGGAGAGCATCAAGGCGTACAACGAATACGTGACGTGCATCATCAGCTGCCTGTGGAAGAGCTGTGCCTTTTCGGGCGACAGCACGTTTGGTAGGTTTGTGAACAAGAGCCATTTCGAGGACGAGCCCAGTTACATCGGCGAGCCCGGTCACAACAGCGGCTACAGCCTGATCTACCACCCCGCGCTGCTGGGCATGGCTCTACGCTTTATCACACAGGTGGGTGTGACTTGAGAGACTGCAGCCGAGTTAGAAATTAACGATGCTGTGACTGCACACTACCTTGACTGTTGGAATGTTACACAAATCATTCATTCTTTAATAATTCATGAAAGTAATGACAGCCCATCATCCATTCCCCGCTGTATGAAGGCCTCGCCACTCTGTGCTGCCCGCTGGGGTTGTTTGACCATTCTTTACTACGCCTGCTAAGTGGGGGTTGGTGAAGGAAGGGCCCAAGGACCCAGTTGGGTATCTACACAAATAAACTTTTTGTGCACTTCTACTCTTAGTACTTGACAATAATGACAAACGTCTGTATATTACTTGCACAATGCGATATTTTGTGTACTACTGGACAGTCTTTCTATTACAGCATTGCGTTGCTTAGTATAATTGATGTGTATGTCATTTATTTAACTATTTGCAGGAGATCTGCGTGGTTGTGGCTACACAGGAGATGTTTTGTTCTCTATTCAGCTTTTCCTTTTTGGGGTTTGGACATCAATCATATATTGTGAATGATGAGCCAGGGACATTAATATCCACGTTATAGCGATAAGTAGGACGCTTTGGTGATTCCATGCAGATGCCATGGCAGTGTTAGAACGGTTGAGGGGTCATACAACATTGTGATTAAAATATTATAAAGAGCACACCATAGGGTGCACGCTTTACCATCCTCTCTCTCTCTCCTTGGACAGAGCTCATTGAAAAGTTTAACCTCGGATAAAAAAACTTTAATCAACATTTCATTGCATTGAGAAACATACACTAGACTTCGCCTCCCTCCCGCTTATTGTGAGATTTATACTCGTCAACCGGGTGAAATACACTGGGGGCTGCGAGCCACACAGATGCCAGAGTACTGTGTGATACTGTGAATTAATTTAATGTTTTCTTCACAGAATGAGATGCTTGTGGACCCATCTGCTCTTATTCAGAGACTCCACAAGATTAAAGTGAGCAGTTCCACGGCATGCACTCTTGATCCCTCTCTCAATAAACCTCAGTACTTTATACTCATTATCGCTTTGGTCTTTCCACTCGCGTCAAATGACGCATGTTGAAATGTGAAAAGTATATTAAGCCACGCTGTATTTTGATGAAATCCATGCTGCCATTAAATGTGTCAAAAACCAACAATAAATATAAAATGTCTCAATGTGACAGGATGCAAAAGAAATACAGCCCACAGTGGGCCAAGACATTTTATACAGTTTCAACCATCGGCCTTGTAATGTCAAATAACTCTTTCGGGCAGGACCAATTTGTGTTTTCATAGAAATATAATAAAGAGCATGTGTATGCTTAAAACAGCCTGTTTGAGCTGGATGCATAAATAAGCAAAGCGTGGTCTCCCAAGGTGTTGTGGTGGCAGACCAATGTGGCGGCAGCTGGGTCTCCGTGTCACTCTTGAGAGATCTTCAGCACAGTGTCGTCCAGCTGCTCCACTTCTCCAAATAATGGCCCAAGGCATCTTCTGCAGCTGTTCACTGACGTCGTACAAGAGGGCATCCTTACTCACCTTATGACGTGGCCCACAAATTGGATCACATTTGGTGAAACAAATTGAAATGTTTCATAATCTTTACTTGGTAAAGCCTGAGTTAATTCTCATACTCTTCGTGGGAAGAGTCTTCCTTGGGATTTTGCTAAAATTCAATCTTCCACTAGAATTCATGGTGAGATATAGAGTTCTGGTTTTCTTTCTTTTTCCTGCATTTCCATTTGTGCTCTTGTTATGTCATAAATCAAAGACATGTTTTATCTATGGGGCCCTTTTTCCAGTATGAAGATATTGGTTGATAAAAACGGGTTTTCCTTTCTGGCATAAATACAGGAGGTGTTAAGATGTTAAAACACCAAACATATACCTATTAGATGGCGTGAAGTCTGCATTAACCGCACATACTTGTGGTGAAAAATGCAAACAAACATGCTTTGATAATAATGTATGCATTGTTCCCGAAACTGATTGGCCGACACCAGAGCTCACAACACTGGTTTTCTCTGCTGTGTCATGTTGCAGGGAGCTGCCTGGGAGAACTACGTGGATTTTCTCTGCACCCTGTACATGAAGGGCCTGAAGAATCTCATTCAGTGCAGTGTCAAACGGGAGGGTCATATTTGGCCATCGGAAGCACAGTAAACAAATAAGTAACTCGTGTACAGCTTTACAAGGAAGAGCTCGAAGAAACAATGATTCATGCAATATCTGGATATTACACTGGAACTCCAAATTTGCAACACTTGCTAATTTTCTAGCTGTGCCAAAATCACTTGTTCCCGTTGTTATCCTCGTGCCAATGCAGAGTAAAATCTGAATGCTTTGAGTTCATGGTCCCAGAGTTGCTCCCATCAAGGCGTTTTCACCGAACCTGAAGTGACGGATCAACGTCCATGTTCCATCTTGACTCTTAAGGGACAGAGGCATCATTAGTAACATCTGATAAAGAGCAAGGGTCCCACACGGTCTCCGTAGCATCACTCACATTCTCTGAAGCAAACCTCTACTTCTCTACACTTCGATCTTCCAATCTCTAGAGTAACAACAACTTCTGTACACTGTTCCATTTGATAGGATCGTCAAAAGGTGCACAAAGATGCAAGGAGTCTACAGAGATAAAAAGTAGGTTCCATGCCTGAGGGGGCCTCGGTCTCTTGGTGTCTTCGTGTATTAAAACCCAAACGAATTGTTCTAACAGACGAGGTGAGCCTGAATGCTGCACACTCCCATTGTACGCCATGCCAGCTTGAGCTGTTCACAAGCAGCACTGCCATTTAGCCTCGTGGGCTGTTGCGGCACCTAATGTCTTTGTTTAAAATTGTATTAAGTAACATGCCTGTTGCCTAAATGATGATTGCATGGTGGTGTAATGATGATGTGGAATATAGCTAGTACTTAATGTGAGAAAATGGGAAAATATCTGTAAATATGTACAGGACCTGTATTTTTCTATAAATATAAAAAAGTATGATCTGCTATTAGATTCCTTTTATTTTCCACATGTGAATAATATTATTTAATTGATGTTAATATTTGGTCATTCATGTTTTTCACAGTGCCACTTAACATTCATCAGGCAGTGGGTCCGATTGCTCATTAATGTGGGTTGTTGCTCATGTCAGTTGGCAGCCCGGAGTCAGAAAAAACATGGTATGAACCAGTGCCTGTAAGAACCAATTTGATCGACCGTGGAGAGATAATGAACTAGGCTACTTGCGACTGGGGATTATAATTCACCTTCATTTAATCACGTGCTCCGTTAAAGCAGCAAATGTCACTCGCTGTATTAAAGTCTGATTTTACGACCTTGAAAAGAGTACTCTTGCCGCACTGATGAGCAAAGTGAATGGGACCACGTTTTCTGAGTTCACGTTTGGTTTTAATTAGAATACAAATAAATATTCCAGAGCAACCTAGCTGGCCGTAAGTGGGTGGTATTAAGACAACCCTGCTGAGGTCCTGGGTAACAATTTAATTTCAAAATGGATATTACATTTTGTTGAAAAAGATGTACAAATGTAGGAAATGTCTTGGTAATGGAGTTACAAGCCCAATCCAGACATACCTACTAGCAGCCAGTTGTCTGGCACATTAAACACTTAAATGCCAAACAACATCCGTGCAGGTGGCACTGGCAGAGTGCCTGATTCACATTGGCAAGGGATTAACGCTAGCCATCTAAGCTCTGCGATTCAGTAGCTGTGTTCAATCAACACAGTTTCCCTCTTTGCAGACGGATTCCTGCCAAAGGAATGTGAAATTTGCACGACTGGCTCAGGACTGCCGATGGTGTTGAGCGTCACTGAATTGTCACTTGAGCAAAGAGATACCTGGACCCCAAAACACTCAATGACAACTCAAATTTCGATATATTCTGCAAGTTTATTTTTATTGGGACTACTTATTAATACTTGCATTTATATGTACCGTCTAGGCATTTATGCATGTTTTTTTGTAAAAACGTGTATCATGAGAACCCGTAGTGGAAAACCATATTGTACAGAACCTCACCAAGCGTTTGTAATGAATTGAATCGTGTTCCGTTATGTATTTCCACAGAATAAAATGGTAGCCTATTGGACTTCCATATTTACGTTAACCGGCAGCATGTTTAAATACGTTAATTGTGGACCCGTTAGCCATCGACAGCAGCAGTTCCGTGTTAATAGGGTGTTGATGGTTTACCAGATGGTATTGGTAGATGCACTATTTCTAAACAGTTTGTTTTAAAAAATATTCCATTAGACCTCAGCGCTTGGTCAGGTGATGATCCCCACAAGAGAGAAACTGGTCCAGGGTTCACATGTTTGCCAATAGGAATGTAGATTTTGGAAATAACATCTGATAAACTGGTCATAATTGTTTGATAGCACGGCTGACTGCTGACGAACTGGGTAATGCAATTCTAGAACGCTAATAGGCCAATGGACATGTTTTATTGTTGTGGATATACTGTACGTAATGGGAAATTGTTAGCTGAATACCTATTTTTTATTACTTTTAGTTCATATTTTATCAACGGCACCTTAACATTTAGTTTTTGATGTACAAAGTTTTTATATCCCTTAGAGCTGCATATTCTCAAGTGTTAACGTTTCGTTTTTTGTGTCTTAATAAATAACACAGTCGTGTACATCTACAGGGCTTTGTCAACCCACTCCAAGTACATATGTATATACGTGGTGATCACTTGCTTAATCTAATTAAACATGTACATACAGGCAGTCATCGATTTACGAACATCCGACTTACGAACACCCGCACGTACGAACCAGCTTCCATGAATATATTTTTTTAAACGTTGAATTAAAACGCGAACTCTGACTTGCAAATTGAACCGCTGCACTATTTTGTTCAGCTGAGCGATCCTCCTCGAGATGTAATTGAGTCGCTCGTGCTGGGAGCGAGTGTTTGTGCATTTAAATACAGTAGATTACTGTGTTCTGGCTTACGAACCGTTTTACTTACGAACGGGCCCCACGAACTAATTTTGTTCGTAAGTAGATGACTGCTCGTACTGCTTATTACAAAAGTTATTGAATTAATTTGAATGAGTCGTCGCAGTTTGCATTGCAGAAGATGGCCCAAAATTTATACAACGTTTACTGCTTTAGCCAAAGATGTTAACTGACGTGGGACTAATTTTACCAATACAAAATAACGGACACCAGACTTTTCCGATTTAAGAGCGTTATATTTATGGGTAATCAGGTCGTATTATTTAAACAAATTATGGTCTTATTTAAGTTGAGACCACCACACTTGCAGGTCTGTAATGGAACTAAAACTGCCTTAAACCCCAGTGGCTGAACACATGTTATCGGATAAAATACGCTCCAATTTGACATGCAAGGTGGAAACTAGGAGGTGCGAGACAGATTTATTTCGGGGTTCCTTAGCTGGTAGTGTGCCAAGTGACTAGAGAATATCATATGGCGTCTATTTTTAATAATGGAGAGAAACATGAGTCTGGAAAGCACGGACGTGTTTAGCTTTGCATCAATCACGGCAGTTATTAGAAAGCGTTCTGCATGCCTCGTTATGCAAGTTTGCAGAGCCACAGTTAACCAGGCTCAACATCATAGGCAGTTAACTTGCAGTCTTGTGTAACGCATCTGGTTATTGAGTTTGTGCTGTTATATTTTTTTACCAGAACTCTCAGCGCAATTTGAAGCAATTATCAGAACATATACGATCACTGCTTTATAAGGCAATTCACGGCCAATGGTGTAAGCATTGTATTCCAATAGAAAATGTAGAGTATATTGCGTGTTTAAAATAGGTGCTTACACGAATGTTAAACAATGCAAGCAATGATAATGGGCAATGGCAGGTGAATGTGGCCCGTGCAGTAGGCATGTCGGATTTAGACACCACAATCCTCCATGTCGCTCCCACACACGGAGGTGGTGTAGGGCTCCCGCTTCTATTCCGCCACGTAATTTATTTAGAGCTGCTCTTTGTATGTTAGTGTGTTGTCCTTCCCCCGCACCTCCGATTGGCACGGTGAGCTACGTACGGTGCGAAAGAAGTTCAACACAGTACACGCATCTTGCCGTGCGAGTCCACAGTTCCAGGTCCTTTGTGGTTCCTCACTCCTGTGGAAGAACACGAGTTGCTAGGGTGCAAGGGCACACGACTCGTGCAGAAAAAGGCCCTTTGGTGTACGACGGCTGTGGCCTCCCACGCCAGGGCAGGGCACAGACGTGTCGGGGGGGGGGGAGAACCGAGTCGTTTTGTCACCAGGACGTCTGGTCAGCCACCAGCGAGCTGAGCCGGACACCAGGGTCGCGTGTGGCGAGTCGCGTTGCCATCCGAAAAAAACACGACTTGAGTGCAGTGCCGGATTAAGCTCGTGTGTGGTGCCTGTAGAATGTGTTATAAAGGGGCCCTAAATACAAAAACAGAACATTAAAAATGTATTTGTATAATGAAGTAATTGTATTTTTTCATTTGCTATACAGCCAGATAATACGACATCGCTTAACCTTAAACACAGTCGTTTTTAAAATATGAAGGCGGTATAGTACTATTGTAATAGAGCAGGCGCAGAATCACTGAACCGGAATTAATAGCTTGAAAGCATTTAGCGCGGGGGCCCTTGAAAGTGCGGGTCCCGTAGCTACACGTGTAGCAGCTGCTACACGTGTATTACATGTGTAGTAGCTACTTGTGCTACTGGGATAGTCCGGCACTGCTTGAGTGTCACCGAGCGAGAGTAATGCAGTGGCGAAGAGTTCTGGAAACGGGCAGGGGGTCCGCAGTGATTGCATCTCGCAGTGGTTATCCTTTTGGCTGTGGGGGGTACGGGGGGACAGCGCCCCCCAAACTGGACAGCTTTATTAATTTATTTTCAGTAATTTACAATTAAGCTAAATTAATTACATGCACCCGCCATTCCGAATGTGGGACAAAGTGAACCCTCCACCCCCTGCTGAAAATATCGAAGTCAAAACTCCGCCAATGCCTCTTGGATGTACAGGACAGTATTCCCACCTTCGGCTGCCACGATTGTCCAGGGTTGGTGGACCACCACGGGGTCGGGGTTGGTGAATCAGAATACTTATTCACACTGGGGAATCCGATAAGCTCCATAGCTCTTTTTCACATGTCCAGTAGGGGGTGGGTAAGAACATTACAACAAACGGTACATAAACATGATACCAGTACAAAGTACAAGAAAGGTAAACATTACCCGAACACATGCAAATACCAGGCATAGCCAACTGAGATATTAATTTATTTTTCAAAGCGACCTGGTCACAAATGATAGCTCAGCAAAATGTCCCATCATTTGGACATTTCTAGCACCAAAACTCTAAATCTCAATGCATGCTTCTCAATTTGGATCATCGGTAGCACCAGCGTCGTCATTGTGACCATGCTATTCATCTATCGTTACCATCAATCGACTCAATCTTCATTGATCAGTTCAAGCACTTGTCCCACACTAACATCGTCTTCATCATTGCCGCATGCATGCAAGCTGCGGACGTGCGAGGGAGAATCTCGGTTTAAAAGAATGTCACAGGACTTCACTATTCTTACAAACCTGCCATCCCCTTATCAGTGCCCTACCTTATTACAGACCAATTCAGACACTATTGGTAACCCCGTGCCCTTATAAATATAAACCTTCATCCTACAAATTCCCATCACAAGGGAGAAACACAAATAGACAAAACATGTTTTCCCCATATTGAGACGTCCGTACACCGAATGAACCTGAAAATTCACTTTTCCTGGACAAGAACACGGGCACACCGTATGGGTGGCGGGTGTGCTATTGTTAGCACGCTTGTTTAGCTAGAAAAGTCTCAACTGTTCATCAGGAGGGTCCTGCCAAGCTGTCACGGTATGGAGGCGATGCTGCTGCTGCTGTAATCCGATTGCAAGCCGCTACCAGCCGAATGTCGGGTGCTGTTGTTGTTGTGTTCAGCGGCTGCTTGCCGTCTTCCTTGAGCCAGTCGTGGAAATGCCACGTTCTTATGCCCATAGCTGTCAACCCACACGCTTCACCCGTGTTCTATACAGGGACGTTGAGTTTGCAGGTCCATACAGCGGAGACGTTGCAATGCGGGAATGTTTTGTGTCTATTGCTGTGCTTCTCCCTTGTGATGGGGCTGTGTAGGATGAACGTTGAGGTGTACAAGGTCGCGGGGGTCACCAATGAGGTCTGAACTGGTCAGTAACAAGCGAGGACGCCGACGAAGGGTTGGCGGCTTTGTCTGTGGGGCGTGTGCGGTGACATCACCCGCACGCCAGCCAGCAAAACTTTGCATATCTTATATGTTCAGTCCAGTGGGAAAAAAAGATTTGTGTGACAACGAGCAGCAACATTGATCACGGTAGAGCGATTCCACGGCGGCATTATCAGATATTAGTGATGTCGAACACGCGCGAGGCGTGACGTCACGTTGCGTCCCGACGCGGGCCACAAGTGCCCGGCCGTGACGTCACTCCCGCTCCCACTTGGCCGTGACATTGGTGAAGTGACGTCACTCTCGCTCCCACTTGGCCGTGACATTGGTGAAGTGACGTCATCCGAGCGCGATCTCGAGCAACATTGAAGCTGGCCGGAACGTCACGGCGAGGGGGGACGGGGCCGGCTATGCGCGCGTGACGTCACGCTGGGGGAGGGGCCGTGATGGCGGGACGCGGTGGCTCCGCGCTCCGCCGCTGCTGCTGCAGGCAGGAGGAGGAGACCCAGCCCGAGTGCACGGGAGCCACCGTCTCGCTCTGACGCCGCCGCGGCTGCGCTCGCCTTGGCGTTGTGGCGCGGCGCATGGGCGGGGAGCGCGGCTGAGGTGAGGGGCGCGGGGCGAGTGGGGGGCCCGCGCTGTCCGAGGTCGCGGCTTAACCATCGCCGCGGCGGCCCCACCGCGCCGTGCCTCTGATTGGCCGAGGCACGTCACGTGGCGCCGTGGTGGGACAAACCAAGCGGCGATGTTGAGGGGGGGGGGACGAGGGGCGCGAGTTCGGCTCGGCGGCGCACGCGGCCTTGGCCGCTGCTCGGGGTCTGCGCTGATTGGGCGCCGCGCTCCGCCAATCGCTGCGCTCGGCGACGTCGCCACCTGGCGCCAGTCGCGCATCGGCCGCTCCGAAAAACGCGCCCGTCGACGCGATTGCCGGTCACGTGACAGACACATCTGCCCTGACCACGTGGTGTATGGGGGGGGTGGAGGGAGCGGTCGGGGGTGAGGGGGGGTCACGTGATTCACGGTGAGGCCGACCTGGCGACACCACGTGGTGCTGCTGACACTGCAGGCGGAGCAGGGCCTCGGGACATGCGCCGGGACCCCGAGTAGAGGTCACCAGCAAGTCACCCAGCTGTGGTGGGGTGGTGGGTGGCCTGGCCAGGTGAGTTGTGATGGGTGCTGCGAGGTTCTGCTGGCCAGAGGGGTGGTGGGTGGTGGGGGTGCTGTGATTGTTACCCTGGCCAGGTGCGGATGTGCACAAGGTGAAGGGGGGTTGCGCTGAACGAGACGACTGTTGCAGGGCTGAGCAGCTGTGATATCAGGCGAGTGTGTGTGTAGGAGAGATGGTGGTCCTGGCTAGGTGTGTGGGGAGGGCATAGCCGGTGCATCTGCCATTCATCTCAGGCAGTCAACCCATGGCACCTGGGTCTCACCCCTGACCTGTCAGCGAGCCTTAGACACTTCACGTGGCTTCGGAGTGCACCTGGCCTCGTACAAACGCCGTGGTAACGTCACCGCCACTTAGTGGCGAATGGTAGCGGATGTTGTGTGGGGGGTAGAGGCAGAGTGGTCCAGAGGTGAGGTTGGTGGTTGCTTTGGCCAGGTGGTTGCTACTGGATGGATGGATGTGTGATGTGGGTATGGTGCTGACTCACCATGTGGGTTCTTAACAGTGCTGGGCACCCGTTTGCCCAGTCCAATGCCTCGCGTTCTTTTTCCAGGGTTCCATCGGGGTGGGTCCATGTCTCTTTGGCTGCTGCACATCCTCAACGTGCACGGGGGACACAGCACGTGGTGCTTCAAGGCAGGGAGAGAGAAATCCTCTCGGCTGCAGTCGTGGAGGGGGGGGGGGGGAGCCCGACATGCTCGGGGAGGAGGCAGGGGGGGAGAACTCGGCACAGTCGATCATCGATTATCGATCATCGAATTATCGATGATCGGGCGGGGAAGGGGACGCCGGGTTTTCAAAAACGCCGAATAATCGCTCCTAATCATTACTTAAAATTTGTTTTTTTTGTACGTTCTTGCATCACGTGTTTTAGGTGTTGTTTCTGTGTTTTTTTTAATAGTTTACTGTGTGAAATTGGTGTAAATAAACATACGAATATGCAACAAAATATAACCGGCTGTAAAAAGGTACTGTATTTACTGGACCACTCCATTCTCCAATACTCTGCACGGGGTGCAGAGTATTGGAGAATGGTGCAGTGTTTTAAGTTGTATGTAGTGTATAATGTACTGTATATAATATTTAACACTGAAATAAAACATAGCTATGCGGTGCCGGTCACAGCCTTTGGGGCGGTTTTGCCGGATCGGCCCGGGACTGCCGGATAATGTTGGAAGCCAGATAATCGATGATCGACTGCAGTTCCAAGGCGCACGTGACAGATGCGTACCGCATTCACCTATTTCTTATTTGTGTAATTCGTGTTTGGTTGACAGCATGATTTCAGGCACGATGGGGAGAGAGTGAGGGCGGTCGGTTGGGTCTGAAAACATCAGCAGGAGTTGGCACTTGGCTCTCACGGCGATGTCTTTACCAGCGGACGCTGTGCGTTGCCTTTGCTGGGATTCGCCTATGACCGCGTTTCCCCACTACTTGGACGTTTGTGAGATAAACAGGAAGTTTGTGAGATAAACAGGAAGTTTGTGAGATAAACAGGAAGTTTGTGAGATAAACAGGAAGTTTGTGAGATAAACAGGAAGTTAGATAAACAGGAAGTTTGTGAGATAAACAGGAAGTTTGTGAGATAAACAGGAAGTTAGATAAACGGGGAGTTTGTGAGATAAACACGGAGTTAGATAAACGGGGAGTTTGTGAGATAAACGGGGAGTTTGTGAGATAAACGGGAAGTTTGTGAGATAAACACGGAGTTAGATAAACAGGAAGTTTGTGAGATAAACGGGAAGTTTGTGAGATAAACAGGAGTTTGTGAGATAAACAGGAAGTTAGATAAACGGGGAGTTTGTGAGATAAACACGGAGTTAGATAAACGGGGAGTTTGTGAGATAAACGGGGAGTTTGTGAGATAAACGGGAAGTTTGTGAGATAAACACGGAGTTAGATAAACAGGAAGTTTGTGAGATAAACGGGAAGTTTGTGAGATAAACAGGAGTTTGTGAGATAAACAGGAAGTTAGATAAACGGGGAGTTTGTGAGATAAACACGGAGTTAGATAAACGGGGAGTTTGTGAGATAAACGGGGAGTTTGTGAGATAAACGGGAAGTTTGTGAGATAAACACGGAGTTAGATAAACAGGAAGTTTGTGAGATAAACGGGAAGTTTGTGAGATAAACAGGAGTTTGTGAGATAAACAGGAAGTTCGATAAACGGGGAGTTTGTGAGATAAACACGGAGTTAGATAAACGGGGAGTTTGTGAGATAAACGGGGAGTTTGTGAGATAAACGGGAAGTTTGTGAGATAAACACGGAGTTAGATAAACAGGAAGTTTGTGAGATAAACGGGAAGTTTGTGAGATAAACGGGGAGTTTGTGAGATAAACGGGAAGTTTGTGAGATAAACAGGAAGTTTGTGAGATAAACAGGCAGAGGACTGCCTGAACACAATGACATTCTCGTCCGTAAAACCTCAGGGCTATCTTGCTTTGGATAGAATCCAGTGGTCTTCTCTCCAAGGCCTTTTTGCCAAGAGCGCATTGCTGGTGAATGGCGTCAACGCTTTGACACGGCCCTTTTCTCTACAACGTAGCAGTCTTGTTGACGTTCCCGTGCCGTCGGGAGACGTTTGTCAAGGCGTTGTGCCCTCCTCTGCAGATGCGTCTGCTGTGCTCTACCTTCGGCTGAGAGAGAGAGTTTACGAGCCGCAATTCCGCGTGGTTTTATGCAGCCGCGTCACGGAGTGGCGGACAGATATCCAGCGACACTGCACAGTCATGGCAGGGCAATAGATCACGGGGGGGGGGGGGGGGGGGGGGCGGGGAACAAGCGGATATTTCTCAAAGTATGCGAGTGCCGTACTGTACTGAACACCACAGTGTCATGTTCGCTTGTTTCAAGCCATGGGGGGTGGTGCCCATCCCTTGCCTGCGGTCCTTAGTGGTGAAGATTCCACATTCCTGCGGTGAGAAGCAATTTCTCCTTGAAGGAAGACGCAAACCCAGTGAGAATTGGGGTTTTATTTGTTTCCAGAAACGCACCGAGCCATGGCGGTGCAGCAGCGTGGATCTCCTCCTGCTGCTGCTGCTGCTGGGGGAAGGAATCTGCCCATTCACCTGTCAGACAGCGTCCGAGCGGCGCTGCAATTGACTGCCCCCCCCCCCCCCCCCCCCAGCCAGTACTCACTGCGGCCTCCCAGCAGGCACCAACGCGTTGTGACGTGGCTGTCCTGCCGGCTCCCACACTGCAACAGCTGTTTTGCTCTGGAAATTGCCCGTCATCTCCCACAAGTGGAGTGTTTTTTGTTCTCTTTGGCAGTGTGATGAGAAGTCAAGAGGCCGGGCGATAGTCTCATTGCAACAGTGACCTGCCGCGTTGTCTTCCTATGTGCGCATCGTGTCGGCGCACCCAAACACTTTTTCCTTCTTCACGAAGATTCAAACTACCGTGTTCCACAGCCAGAGACGCTCATTGTGTGTGGTTGCAAAACAATTTAGGAATCGCCAGGCTGTGGATCACCGTAGCCCATAGCCCTGAGTGTACCACAGCCTAGCAGTGAAAGTGTGTTGGTGCACATCTTCCGAGATATGGGTGGCTCTTTCTGCTTTGGTTTGGGCTCCGTAGCAGCAGATTTTTTCACGTGAATCCCGCGTCACGCCTGAAACTGCGCTCAATAGGAACTTGTGTTTTGAGTTGAGTCTTCCTTTTGCATAACGACAAGGAGGGGGGGGGGGGGTCACTACATTTTCTCTGTGTTCATGTGCTGTATATGGGCAGGAAGCATTTATTGAGATGCGGATAAACGATGCCGAATATATCCTATTTGCTTGTTTTTTTTCCTAGCGGTTTGCAGCCATGATTCTCATTAAGTGTATATTAGTGTCTGAACCTTGCCTTAAGTTCGTTACTTTTCATTGAATGCATGCTTCTGCATCACAGCACCTTCCGATTAGCACAGTTGGCTTCGTACAGTGCGAAGGAAGTTCAACGTACACGCAGACGGCATCAGAACTGGGGAGACAAAGGTGAATGCGCTCGCTGCGAGGTGGCCAGATGGCAGTGTTGTCATCCTGTCTCATGCGTGGACTTTCTCTGGGTACTCCCATTTCCTGCCGCTTGTAAAGAGCTCAACAATGGCATTGGCCAACATCCCCAATGTAGAAACCCTCCTGAAACAAGTCTTCACACTAAGTGAGGCTGTCCTGAGTAAGTAATTGACATGATGATGATCATTTTTAGTGACATTCACATCTGATAGGTGATCGCTTGACATTGTTTCTCCCAATAGTATTGAGGCTTACGTTGAGGATCTGAGTGTGTATGAATACACGATCAGCTGTTTAAGGTGACAGGCTGAGAGCTTTAATGTGGTTTAAGTTACAATTTTATGAACGGTGTAAATTGGTTAGTGACAGGTAATTGGTCCTCGCTTAGGTGATTCTGACGCAGTTGATCACTCGCTTCATCAGTTTATTGGGCTGCTCTTGG